GAATTTTAAGGGATGCATCTACTGTGCCAAGATGACTGGTTCCCAAGACACATGTGGGTTGTACAGCATAGGAGGTTAAAGGTTGAGGAAACAGACTTCCGTGTTTTCAGTCTAAATTAAAGGGTCATACTCAAGAAGCCAAATCAGATTGAAATGGCCTGAAACTAAGTTAGGTTCAAACCATTCTCTGTATCTAGTAGGATGGCAGAGGTAGCCCAGCAGGGAAAAGGTAAGCTCTGTAGGAAAATGCACTTAAGTCTTAAGTCTTTCTTGTTCTTATAGACACACCATTGGCACACTGTCGAGTTTTAAGAAGTAAGAAAGTGGTAATCAAGACAAAAACAGGAGGTAGTACATAAGCAGTCTAGGTGTTGGAGTTAGTCAGAGACTCTTGACATAAATATAATGTCTTGAAAACAGGAAATTGATAAAATGCCAGAAATGCTATAAATTTTGATAGAGAATTGTATCTACAATAAAAAATGTTCTGACTCTCAGGAAACACTTCCCAGAAGATTTCACCTGCTGGGGTCTTGTAATCACCACTAATTTCTCAGCCCCAGCTAAGCAGCGTAGAGTATCCCCTCAAAGCAACGGTTCTGCTTCAATAGTTCTGGTGTCTGTTAGCCCCAGCTAACTGGAGCCACAGAATTGAAAGTAACAAACAGCCCTGGTCTTTAAACACCTGGAGCTTCAGAGGCCAGCCCCGCCCTGTGCACAGCCCTCGACATTCTTCCCAGATCCCACAGAGCATCTCTCCAGACCTGACCACTCCGTGTCCTCCCCAAACATGCTCCACTCTCCTGGGACCAGCTTGTCTAACTTGGGGTTTCTATTACTATATGAAACACCACAGCCAAAGTAACTTGGGGAGGAAAGGTTTGTTTGGCCTACACTTCCACATCACTGTTCACCATCAAAGGAAGTCAGGACAGGAACTCAAGCAGGGCAGGAACCTAAAGGCAGGAGCTGACACAGAGGCCGTGGGGGGGTGTTTACTGGCTTTCTCCTTATGGCTTGCTCAGCCTGCTTCTTATAGAACCCTGGACCAACTGCCCAGGGATGGCCCAACCCACCATGGACTCAGCCCTCCGCCATAGATCACTAAGTAAGAAAATGCCCTATAGGCCTGCCTGTCCCCTGCTGTTATGAGGTGTCCTCTCAGTTGAGGTTCCTCCTCTGCTGACTGTAGCTTGTGCAGGCTAATGTCAAACTAGCCAGTACAGGCTTCGTCAAAGAGAAAAACTTCATCATACAGAAGGCTTCAGTAAGAACATGGAAAACAGGACATCATTGACCGAGTAAAATCATTTACCATGCTGCACATACATTTGACAAAAAGAACTTGTTTCAAAATATATAAATGACTTCTGTTGTAAACAATAAGGTCTAATTTGGGAGTTGGTCAATGGGTAAGGACAAAAGCACTGGCGGTACAAGCAGGGTAACCCCCAGAAGAAAGCGCTGTGTGCTCCTAAGTCACACATACACACACATCCATATACCTATACACATTCACACATGTACACACACACATACACACATCCATACATGTACACTCACACAGGCACATACACACACAGACACGTACACACGTGTACACACTGATACAATTAGACAGACAGATGGGGTTAAATATCCAGTGCTCTGCAACATGGCCTCCAGAATTAAAGAGAATTCTAAAGGAAGCTTAGTGGCCAGGTACACGAATGGAAAGTAGTTCAGTATCACCTGTCATATAAGACAAGACCATTTTACTCCTGCTCAAATGACCAAGCTTTAAAAGACGATACTCATAAATTGGAATATTGAAATGCTCACATACCACACTGGGCCTATTTTAAACACACACACACACACACACACACACCAGCTGTTTCTTTTTAAGTTAAACACTGATTCAGCATTTGAACTCGAAATCACCCCAAGAGAATTGTGTATGTCTGCTAGATACTTGTACAGAATGATCATGCTAGCATTCATCATAGTAGCCTTCAGACTGGTACCATCCAAATGTCCCATTAGGAGAAGAAAGAATAAACAGGGAGTGTATTCATATAGTAGACTTCTTATTTCACCAGAAAACGGTGACTACATGGAGGCATCTTACAGGTAAGATTATGTTAGAAGTGGGAAGCCCAGAGACTCTCGGGCTGTACACTGTCTAGTTCCAGCATAATGGTTATTGCTGGGGACTGAAGATGTCCTGGTGAGAACTTGAGGGGACCAGAACTGGAAAGGTTAGGCCATCCAGGACTGAAGAGCTGTACGTGTGTATATTGAGTCTCAAAATAGCAACACAGTTGAGGTTCTCTTGTTAGGAAGTAGGCACAGACTGTTCACTGCACGCTGTAAGTCATGTAAGTCATGCTAAATGCTGTCGTCTTTAAGGCAGAGAGGCCGGGTATGAGTGAGTTGGCATGTCTAGCTTGCACTTAGCAAAGATAGCGTAAGGTAACAGCACAGGCTGACACTTTTTAAAATTGCTACTCTTAAGACTCTTTAAAAATTTTCCCTTAAATGTCATTTGTTTGATTTATATTGCTGCTTTTATCAACAAATTTCTAGTAGAATTACTAAGGCTTTGGTATTGGCCCTGAGAATTAAGCTTATGGGGACACACATTCTCTACAAAGAGCATTCTGTTGCTAAGCTGTGCCCAGCCAGAGATGTTCTGTTCACAGTTACTTCCCTGCTATGTGCGTTCCTGTGCGTGTGTGCATTCCTGTGTGTGTGCACTCCTGTGTGTGTGCATGTGTGTGTGCACTCCTGTGTGTGTGCGCTCCTGTGTGTGTGTGCACTCCTGTGTGTGTGCGCGCTCCTGTGTGTGTGCGCGCTCCTGTGTGTGTGCGCTCCTGTGTGTGTGTGCACTCCTGTGTGTGTGCATGTGCACTCCTGTGTGTGTGCATGTGCACTCCTGTGTGTGTGCATGTGCACTCCTGTGTGTGTGCATGTGCACTCCTGTGTGTGTATGCGTGTGCATTCCTGTGTGTGTACGTGTGCACTCCTGTGTGTGTGCTTGCCCTGCACATATGGAAGTCAGAGGACAATTTGTGGGTGTAGATTCACAATCAGATTATAAGTTCTGCCTCAGACACGTAAAAAATAATCTTATGATAAGCTGTGAATGTGAAACAGTTTTCAGGGCAGGAAATGTGAGCGATGTCAGAGTGACTTAGTGTGGATGGACTTTGGGGAGGGCCTGATGCTCCTCCACTGACTTAACGTCCTGACTCCATCAGCACATGGAGCAGTGATGGTCCCCAAGAATGACGTCGTCAGTTTCCCCTTGGGCTGCTCTGCGCTCACTGAAGGGTGATGTCCCGTCTGGATGTGGTCTCATCCTCACAGTGGTGACATTCTCTGGAGATGATTTCAGCATGACATCTTCCTCCGGGTCCCCACGCCTTCCTCCCCAAACCTCTCGAGTAACACCATGGTCTGTGTGACACGGGTTATTTGTTTTCAGTGCTTTCAGTGGTGGGGTGCAGGCAGGCAGTGGCGCTGCCCCGCCCACTCTCCAGCAGCTCCTTTCAGGGCCTCTGTTGGTCTCTTCCCATACAGTGAGCAGCTCTGCCTTCAGTTTCAGGGCTGCAGACACTCACTCGGTGCGTCTTTCTGCATCTTCAAAATCAAACTGGCCAAACAAAGGCCATGCTGGGAGCTATCGTGGCATGCTTCAATGTATGGGAAATGTAAGTTAAGTTACCAAGGAATACAAATAAGACAAGGCTTACAGGTAACTGGACAGAAAAATTGGATTGAGAATGACTTTCAAATACATTTTGAAAAAATATTACCAAGAAGTAGTTTATGTGAGAAAAAGGACAGTGGCATCGAGGGCAGGAGGCAGCTAGCAGACAGGCGTGTAAAGTGTGAGTCAGCGCTCTAGCAGACAGGCGTGTAAGTCAGCGCTCTAGCAGACAGGCGTGTAAAGTGTAAGTCAGCGCTCTAGCAGACAGGCGTGTAAGTCAGCGCTCTAGCAGACAGGCGTGTAAAGTGTAAGTCAGCGCTCTAGCAGACAGGCGTGTGAGTCAGTGCTCTAGCAGACATGCGTGTAAGTCAGCGCTCTAGCAGACAGGCGTGTAAAGTGTAAGTCAGCGCTCTAGCAGACAGGCGTGTGAGTCAGCGCTCTAGCAGACATGCGTGTAAAGTGTGAGTCAGCGCTCTAGCAGACATGCGTGTAAGTCAGCGCTCTAGCAGACAGGCGTGTAAAGTGTAAGTCAGCGCTCTAGCAGACAGGCGTGTGAGTCAGCGCTCTAGCAGACATGCGTGTAAGTCAGCGCTCTAGCAGACAGGCGTGTAAAGTGTGAGTCAGCGCTCTAGCAGACAGGCGTGTGAGTCAGCGCTCTAGCAGACATGCGTGTAAAGTGTAAGTCAGCGCTCTAGCAGACAGGCGTGTAAGTCAGTGCTCTAGCAGACAGGCGTGTAAGTCAGCGCTCTAGCAGACAGGCGTGTAAAGTGTGAGTCAGCGCTCTAGCAGACAGGCGTGTAAAGTGTGAGTCAGCGCTCTAGCAATCCGCTCAAGTGGGCTGTGGCACCTGGGAAGTAAGCTGCTCAACAGCAGATGCGGGCCCAAGAGGGGCAGGTGCTCAACAGCCATTTTTGTGGCTTAAGCAAATCTGTATGTGTCAGCTGATTCAAAATGATGATAATTCCACCTTTCGTAAAAATTAACAGATGTTTTGTTAGCCTGTATTGCACCAAATAATGAGTTTGTTTCATTGTGTCTGTTTTGATCATAACATGGCCCCCATGGCCTTGTGTGCTGTGAGTCTCTTGCATGGAGACTCCTCATAATCACAGTTATCTCAAGTTCCTGAGCTATAGCAATGAATAATAGGTAGTACATTTAATGTACATTATAGCTTAGGGTGTGTTATCAGCCTGAAATGAAATAGCTTTCTCCCTGATCATATCTAAATGCCAAGAAATACAGACTCGTGTCATCAAGAAGTTACTTAGAATTTCATGTTGATGTACTGTGCTCTTCTCAATAGGAAGTACTTAAACAGCTCCAGGGGAGTATTGAAGATGAAGCTATGACTTCTTCTGGACAGACTGACTTACTAGAGCGTCTTAAAGGTACATTTTTTAAGTAGTTTAGAAACCCTGTTTTAGGATAGCTTGATAACTGATTGGAGTCAGCTGCTCTATTTGGACTGTGGACTCAGCCTGCTCCCATTTCCACGCTGGGTCGAGGCTGCTAAATGCAAACAGAGGAAAGGTCTGATGCTTGCTGTTCCCACATGTCATCGGATTTCAGTGTGTGACTAAGTTTTCTCCTTGGGAGTTCGGAGTTGTTTTTAAAAGTCATTGTATTCTACCAGTCACTAAATATGCTTCGGCATGCCATGTCTTATAAGACTCCCATGGCAGGTAGATTGGGAGGGGGGTGTTCCAACTGGGGTGGAGATACCTAGCTTTTCCTATGCCATTTCTAACAGAATCTGTTTTAAAATGTCTTTCTCGCTTTGTTGCTTAGAATAATTGACACTAAGGATGGACATTTTTGTGTAATTTCTGCTAACATACTTGTTTTCTTTATGACTCAAGCTGTTTTTGCGGGGAAGCTTTTAACTATTATAAATAATTATCAGTCATGTATGCTTGTATTTAAAATATAAGCCCGAGACTTCACTTTTAAAATAATATAGTAACTTTAGGAATATTTTATATAACATAAAGCAGTTACTACCTAAGGCTTTGTCTCTGCTTAGAATTTAACTTAGATAGCAGTTTTCCTGGAGTGAAACTACGCTCAAAAATGTCCCTCCGCTCCTATGGAAGTCGGGAAGGATCCGTATCAAGCCGCTCAGGAGAGTGCAGTCCTGTTCCCATGGGGTCATTTCCAAGAAGAACATTTGTAAATGGAAGCAGAGAAAGTACTGGATATTTGGAAGAGCTTGAAAAAGAAAGGTAACGTTTGTTCCTGTGTAGTCATTACTGTATGTACATGGAAGCAACTTGATGATTTGTAAGATACAGAGGAGGGTTTGATGGCAGGTGATATGACCTGCTCCTTAGAGCATTTTCTGTTTCAGTGTCTTTTTAGTTTCCTACTTTTTCCACCTCCCCTGCCCCCAGACAGGGTTTCTCTGTGTAGCCCTGGCTGTCCTGGAACTCACAGAGATCCAGCTACCTCTGCCTCAGAATGCTGAGATAAAGGCAGCATGCCTGGCTTGGGTATTTTAGGACTCTTAATGCCCAGAAGGTGCCTTATCTTTTTATCCTAAAAGTTAGGTCAGATGTTTAAATGGTAACATGTATGTTAGATAATAGCTTTATGGCCTTAGTGAGTCTACAAATTTTATGTCAAGTTCTTTTGTGGAACTGGTGCTTGTGAAAACTGAATGTTAAGATAGTATGTAGATCACAGGGCTCAGTGCTCTCTCGGGTTCTGTTCCCAGCGCTCACCTGGCAGCTTAGAGCTGGCTGTAACTCCAGTTCCAGGGGCTCCTGGACACACGCGATACACACATATATACATAAAACGAAAGATAAGTTTTAATAATTATGTATAAAGAAATGCATCATGTTTCACTGGAAGGGGAAGACCTTACTATCTCTGGCTTAGGTAGGGTGTGGCCACCTGTGGAAGTCTGGCTGCTGTGTGGACTAGGAGGGATGCTGAGCTCTCTTCTGCTCTCACTGGGCCAGTCTTTATTTCTGCCCTGAACCCGGGCTGACCAACGCTGTCCTGACCCACCGTCTTCCGCCACCTTGTCCCCTTGATTACGTGTGAGCACACTGGCCTTCCAGGAACTCATTTTGGTACTAATATCATTAGCAGAGAGTTTTAGAGAAAGCAGTTTTTAAAATGGGTTTTACTGCAAGTATTAGTGAGCCGAGCAGCTGTTAGTAATGAAAGTGCATTAGAATGTTCCTGTGTCTCAGCCTCTCTGATACCTAAGGGGGAAATCTCTCGGCTCCTGCTCTCTGATACGTGAGGGGGAAATCTCTCAGCTCCTGCTTTGGTGCCATTTATCTCTTGCCAGTTCCTGCCCATTCATTTCCTTACGATGAAGGCTGCTTATTTCTGACATTATTTCTCAGGAAGGGTGATCGTAGCAAGAACAAAGCCTTCTACATACATTTGTACTCATTATGAATGTTTCTCAAGAACACACCAAACAGAATTTTTAAAATAGTGTATCATCAGAGGGGAAAGCATCATTGTGTGTGGCCAAATTCCAGATTCATACAGAAAATATTCACAGGTCTGACTTCACGAAAATTCAGATTTTCCAAATAACAAAACTACTATAAGTGTAAATTGAAAAAAAATGTATATGCAACCTAGTGACTTAAGTACTGCCATTCCCAACCCAATACAGAAGTCCTATAAATGAGAAGTACAAGTTACAGAAAGGGGAGGTTTGCAAACTCAGAAAAAACAGTTATGTGCATTACATCAATTAAAATCATGGTGATATCCTAGAGGTTTATAAATTCAGATATGTAAGACTTTAAAAGTTGTGTTATAGCTAGCTATGGTAGCATGTGTCTTTAATCCTAGCACTTGAAGTCAGAAGCAGGCTGATCTCTGTGAGTTCGAGGGCAATCTGGGAAGTTACACGGAGAAACTGTGTCTCCAAAAACCAAAAAACCACACACAAAAGAAATTGTGTCATAAACTTAAATTCATAAAAAATTGTAGGCTATATAATTGATGTAACATCTTATTAGAACAGTAAGTAAAAATACATGTGCCCTCAGAATTTATCATGTGTGCATGCTTGAACATGTGTGGAATGAAGTGCATAAAGACATTAATGTAATGTATAATGTTAATAGTGCTCCCCAGTAAAGAACTTGCCATAGCATGTCTCCTTTGTGGAGTCATCAGTACGGTGAGATACATGGGATATTAGGCAGCCATCAGAAGTACACAGCAGGTCTTTTGTTCTTATGTGCAGCGACCCCCAACATAGATTTTTATACATGAAATAGCAGAGTATTTATGTTCCTAAACATAGGCGCCTTATTACGTGCATCTTCACAGAAAACCCCTGGAAACAACAGAGAGAGAAAGTGATGACAGACGCTGCTTCGGGAGCAGAGCCACACAAAACAATACGGAACGTGTGCTTTTTACTCCTGAGGAGTTTATCTCAGTAACACTGTCTTGTCGTATGCTTGTATCTGTAATGGTCAGGTGTGTGGTGGCACTGGATCTTCAGGAACTATGTAAGGTCGTTTCAAGATTCCAAGCTAAGTTTCTGTACTTCAGAGCGCCTTCCTCTGACTGCAGGTGTGATGCGTTTATTCAGTGTTGCTGCTCAGCCGCTGGCTGACATTGGTGTCCAAGGCCGCGGCTTCCAGGCTCCTCCCTTTCCCCAGAGTCATTGCTGCTGGCTTAGCCCCTTTAGTATAGTGTTTACTCTGCTGGCTTTGAGTTCTGTTCTGTCCACACCTTTGCCTCACCTTGTAGACTGTATGAAAGAAAGCCCTAGTCAGGTTGAGAACTGTCTTACTCAGGGACCGAACACACTGGCATTCAGATGTCAGTGAGTAAAAACCCTAAGTCCTACCACACACTCCAAGTCAGTGAGTTCCTCATTCATCCGTTCTCTGCTGTCTTACAGTAACAACTGGGAGTTAGTCTTAGACAACGTGCGGTAGCTTGTGTAAACTTACCTGTCTTTTAATATAGATCGTTACTCCTTGCTGATCTTGACAAAGAAGAAAAGGAAAAAGACTGGTATTATGCTCAACTTCAGAACCTCACGAAAAGAATAGATAGCCTGCCTTTAACTGAAAACGTAAGTACCGTGGCAGCACAGCTGAGATTGAATTGCTTGATCTTTAAAAGTATTCAGATTATCAACAAGGAATTTGAGATAGCTGCATTTGTAATGGTCTTAATTAGCTGTTAACCTAAATATATAATGGGTCAATAGTATTTTTTGGTTTTGTTTGTTTTTGTGGGGGTTTGTTTCTGGTTTTGACACAGGGTCTTAGGTAGTAGCCCGGGCTGACTTCAGACTTGCTATATAGCTGAAGAGGACCTGATCCTCCCAAGTACTGGGATTATAGGCCTGTGTCACCATACCAGCCTGTTAATTAGTTTTTAATAGAAAATGAAAGTTTATTGTATACCAACAGATACTTCTTTGAATCCAGATTCCACTAGACAACTATCTGAATCCAGATTCCACTAGACAACTATATTTTTAATTGGTAGAAACATTATACCATCTGCTTGGTTTTTCTGTACAATACAGGAATCATGCCAGATAGTTTTTACAACTAAGATATCCTTGAAGATAATTGAAATATTACTCTATCTAGGTATAAATGCCAGTAGCTATAGCCATGGATCTTACTATTTTTGTGAATTCTAGAATCCCTTTAGCAAATACACTTTTGTTTAGAATTTTAAAATGGACACCAGTGAGATTGCTCAGCAGGTAAAATGACTTCTGCCTGGCTGGCAGCCTGAATCCAGTCCCAGGGACACACCTGGTGGTGGGAGAAAACTCAAAGTCTTAGAGCTAGAGAGATGACTCAGCAGTTAGGAGCACTCACTGCTCTTCTAGAGGATCTGGGTTTGCTTCCCAGCACCCACAAGAAACTCACAGCCACCCACAACTCCAGTCCTCAGAGACCTGACGCCCTCCGTGGGCACCAGGCACACATATGGTATCCTCATGTGCATGCAGACAGAACACTCATGTAAAATAAAAGTGACAAGTCTTTTTTAAAAATAAACTGAAGGCCACCCTCATCTATATAGTAATTTGAGGCCAGACTGGGATGCAAGAGGTCCTGTCTAAAAATAAAAAGAAAGCTTCTGAAACCCATGAGGAATCTCAAGGTTGTGTGTTTCATCAGTATTTTATGTGATATTTAGAAGGGGAAATGAGACAGGTGTGTGGTTCATGCTCAGCCCCACAGTGCTCCAGGCTGTCAGCCTTGAGGGTGGGCCAGCCTGGGCTGCGGTAAGACTCTGCCAGTGTAACCTGCGTTCAGCTTTCACCTTATCATAGCAGTCTTGAGAGGACATAGCAGACAGGAAGTGAAAATAAAGGGAGAGAAGCCTTCCAGAGTATAGTTAACAGGGTTTCCCGGTGCACGAGCTACAATTCCAGGCATTAAGTGCTCACTCTCCTAGAGCAGCCGGGAGTCCGGGGAGGAAGAGAAGGGCCCTGCTCCCTGCAGAGCCCTCCAGACTCTCCTGGCCACAGGACATCACACACAGGAAAAGGCAGCTTCGGGGCATCTCTGATGAAGGAAGACTAAGGGATCCCGAAGAGTTTGACGAGATTTTAAATTTATGAATAAAAACAGCACAGCATGGTTTTATTATCGGTGACTATGAATGGAGAATATACAAAATCCAGAGCCCTGTTGTCTCCATGAAGTTAGGGTCAAAAAGGGCTTTGGTATATTTCGTAACTCAAGGCAGTGGGTTACTATCGGAAGTAAAGATTAGTTGTCAAATAAATTCATTAGGTAATCATGTTTAATAGGATACACAAGAATACTCAATCATTATGGGCCATTAGTAACATTAGCAAATTGAAACTTGCTTGTATTTTATGATCATTTACTATACATTGCTTTCTTATTGAGAAAACAAGTTAAGAAGAACTTCCATGTGGAAATATTTATCTGTTTATCAAATTATCACACCACTTACAACTCAAAACCATATTATTTTAGCACGCTATGTCACATTCAGTGTTTCTGTTTTGCTGGGAATGGAGGACAGATGAGAGAAATAACAATGTAGACTGAGAGTAGGAAACGACACTTAGTGAGGCGTGGTGGTGACACTTAGTGAGGTGTGGTGTGCTTGCCTTTGTCCCAAAGGCCCAGCTCTGGGAAGACGGTGGTAGGCAGGTTTCTGTAAGCTCAAGTCTAACCTGGTCTATGTAGTAGCTTCAGGCCAGACAAGGCTACATGGAGACCCTGTCTCTAAATAAATAAACAACATGCAGACCATTTTATCTGTCACTGAGTCCCTAACTGTGGTGCGCCTACAACAGTGCATTCTGCACATGAGTGTTTTGTTTGGGGGCAACTTAAAATGACAACAGTTTGGTTGGGTTTGGTTTGGTTTTTCAAGACAGGGTTTCTCTCTGTAGCTTTGAACCCTTATCCTAGAACTCGCTCTGTAGACCAGACTGGCCTCAAACTCACAGAGATCCACCTGCCTCTGCCTCCCGAGTGCTGGGATTAAAGGTGTGCACCACCACCACCGGGCTTAAAATGACAACAGTTTGGACCAGACACACTGGGAGCAACTCCCTAAAAGAGCGTGAGGAGTATGAACAGTCTTACAGCGTTTCTTCATTCTCTCCTCCTTTTTATCCTGCTGTGTCTCAGTGTGAACACCAGTGATGGGTAACACCCATTTGGTGAGGTGCTGCTGATTTTGTCTGCCTATTTATTAATGTTTATTTTAGATATTTGTTTCTTACTCTCTTTTCTTCATTTAAAAATGGAAATTTCTTCTCTATTTAGCCTGTACACATGAGGCAATTAATTAATCCTTACCTTAAAAAAGGGCAATGCACATCTGTTTTGATTCTCCACACGATGTCCTGTTAGTAGACCAGGGTTTTGTTTGCGTGTTGGTTTTGGTTGAGACAGTCCCATGCAACCCAGTCCTCTTGAGCTCCTTGTGCAGCCAAGGATGAGCTTGAGCCTCTGGTCCTCTTTGCCTGTTTCCGAAGGGCTGGGATCCGGGTCTGTGCCGTCACGCCTGGGTTTGTGTGGCGTGGTATGCAGCTTTAATAACTGACAGGAGTTCCTCGGGGTGGTGGGGTTCAGTGCATTGTCCCTGCCTACTTCACACAAGGGTCTAGTTGACCCCAGCACCACAGAAGTCAGTGAGCAATCAGGTGCCCTCGGCAGGTAAAATCATAAGGGGACAGACGCTAGGCCCACCTGAGCTAGACCAGTTACATATTTTCAACGAAACAGTCTAAGTTAAAACCATTTTTTTTTTTTTTTACTTTGAGGCAGCTCTGAATCTATTAGGAATGCCAGCTAAGCCTGGTGCCCATACTCAGGATTTAGGATTCCTAAGAGAAAAAATTTCTTAAGTATGGTGACTTACATAGTTATTTACTCAATTTTTGGTTTTTGGTTTTGGCTTTGGTTTTTTCATTTTGTTTTGTTTTTTTGTTTTGTTGTTGTTGTTTGGATTTTGGTTTTTGGTTGTTCAAGACAGGGTTTCTCTGTGGCTTTGGAGGCTGTCCTGGAACTTGCTCTGTAGACCAGGCTGGCCTCGAACTCAGAGATCCGCCTGCTTCTGCCTCCCGAGTTCAGGGATTAAGGGTGTGCACCACCACCTTTTAAATGGGCATTCGTTTCACTATTAAACAGAAGTTAATGTGTTCTCTGTGGTTTAGTTTTCCTTACAGACAGATGTGACGAGAAGGCAGCTGGAGTATGAAGCCAGGCAGATCAGGGCTGCGATGGAGGAGCAGCTCGGCACCTGCCAGGACATGGAGAAACGGGCACAGGTGAACGGCTATTCCCACACGGCACACATGACAGTCTGACCGTGTTCCCAAACTCCACCGTTACAGTGTCTGTGCAAGGCCATCAGCACCATCACGGAGAAGCTTCACAGCCTGTCTGGTGTCGGCACTGTGGGGATGATAACCAGCATTGACATAACTGCCTCTGCCGTATGTCATTTGGGTATTCCTCGTTCTGCATAGAACCCCAGGGAGATGCCGATTTCCTTTCAGCCAATAACCACCTTCAGCTGAGTTTATGTGGTAGCATTCAGAAGTTTTTCAAAACAACAAATACAGAAGCCGCAGCAGTCTGTGTGAGAAACTGAGGGAGGACAGCATGAGGGACAGGGCTGAGAATAAACACACTGAGGTCACAGAACGTGTACTGATGACTCACTGTCGGGCGCCTCTGTGAGCGCTGACTCACTGTCCAGAGCCTCTGTGAGCGCTGACTCACTGTCCAGAGCCTCTGTGAGCACAGTGTGTGGCTGCCTAGTGTTCTAGCCCTGTAGGGGCCTTGGCTGATGCCCTGTCTGCTCCAAAGTGAGCATGGGGGATTCCTTATTTGTGCTTTTCTAAAAAACTTTAAAGACACATCGAGGAACATTCAAAGATTATATTTAGATAGCAACTAATAGGGCAAATTAATATTGGTATTTTGTATAGTGGTATAAATACATGTGTTCTGTAAAGTTGATTTTGTCTTTTTTGAAGTGTTTTTCATATAATATATTTTGGTCATATTTTTCCCCCTCTTTCAACTCCTCCAAGATCCACTTCTTGCTCTCCTCCTCTTAAAACGGAAATAGACCTGAAAAGAGGTAACAACGCCATGGAGCTCATTTCCTGTTGTCCAACCAGTTATCCCTGAGCTGTGGCCTGCCGTGGGATGTGACTGGTGTGCCCAGTGTTCCAACCTCTCCCAGCGGCTACAGTTGCAAATAACTTCGTGGCTAAGGGTGGGATTTATGTTAGAATATCGTTATATGTGAGGTAATATTTAACACCTGTAGCCTGACACATTTTCTGATTGATTAGTTTTGCAACTAGTTGGGAAGATAACTAAAGTTTATGTGCACATACGTGTGTGTGTGTGTATTTGTGTATTTGTGTATCTGTTAGTTATCAGTATACAATTAGTACCCACATTGCATTCAGATAGATTAGTGACTTCAATGTCAAAAGTAAAACTTTAAATTTTTTGGTTGAAAATACACATGAACATATCTCTGACACTGCATAGAAAAGAATTTCTTAAACAAAATGCTAGGCTAATGGATTTTACTGATTCAGATTAAGAATTTGTCTTCATCAGGAACCATCGGGATAATGACAAATATGTTCCAAGCTAGGAAAAGATAGTCACTGTTAGAACTAAGAATTAAAACCAAGAACCTATAACCAGGTTCCAAAGATATATTCTGTTTACATTTATATTTCAATTTGAGATTTTCATGCAATTATTTTTTTAAATGTGAAGCAGACTTGTTTCCATGAAAAAAAAAAACTATGAGAACTATTCATTGGCTTTATATAAATTTTCATTTTTAGGCTATAGCTATGAGTTACATTTTTTTTTTCTGTTTCTGTTTTTAGAGATCCTTGAGGACACCATAGCATAACAGACATAAACATTCTTATTATACACAGATGTAAATAGATACATCCCAAGGTTTCTGATCTGTATCCCAAAGAGAGATTAGTGTGACTTCTTTTTGGCCATTCTGTTAAGACGTGTGCATCGTCTCTGCTTCACTCTGGATGCCGCATGTTTCCTTAACATGTCAGGAAATGTAATGCACACAGCAGACGTTTTCTCCTTGGGAATAAGCATGTGAATAAGTTTTGAAGTTACAAACAAGATGAGAAGGTGCTAATGGAAAGGCTGACCTTCAAGTGACAGCAGTCTAAGATGACATCTCGGATGTACATAGTTTTAAAGTAGAATGTGTACTGAATGCCCAGAAGCACTCCTTTGTAAGAGTTGCAACAGAAAATGACAGTGGAGTTAATAGTTCCCCAAGAGCTCATCAGGGCTAGCAGTGCAGGATTCATAGAGAATCACTTATTCTGCAAGAGCTTCCACTCTTAATGACTTCTAAAAAGGATGTGGATACAGCCCCCTCCTGAGCCTGCCTGGCTCCGTCTAAGTGACCGCAGGCACACAACACTAACTCTTTGTCTGTTCACAATGAGTTGTACCATATCATGGGAATAAGAAAACAGGTTATGGAAATGTTTGTAACATATCTGAGAAAATCACTGTGCAGTGTACTGTACTGCTCAGTGAGTGCCTGCACATGAGGTAAAAACAAGACAGCAGACACCAGAACAGCCAGGCCTTGTGGCACACTGAGAACCCAGCACTCAGAAGGCTGGAGCAGGAAGGTCGAGCCCTGTGTCAAAAAGGGACTCAGATGTGAGTAGCTCCACCTTAAAAGAAATTTGTTGATTAATAACTGTGAAAAATGCTAGCACGTAAGTCTTAATGTAAAAGAGCTCAAATTAATAGAAGAAAATGTAAGACATTTGAGACCTTAAGAATGAAAATTCTCTGGGTGGTGATGCCTCACACCTTTAATCCCAGCACTGGGAAGGCAGAGGCAGATGAATTCCTGAGTTCAAGGCAGCCTGGTGTACAGAGGGAGTTCCAGGCAATACAGAGAAACCCTGTCTCGAAAAACAAAATAATGGAAAATTAAAAGCAATAGAAGTTATTTTCATAAAATTCTGTCCTATAGGAATAGAAAGGGAAAATAGTTTCAACAATATATAAAGAAAACCAGTTAATATCCCTTAATATGAGGATTAATTCTTGAAGACAGCCCTTGTTTTTAAATGGACAGAGGGCTGGCCAACAGTTTGTTTAAAGGATGGAAAAGTCCAGTACAACATGTAGAAATAACTGGTAAATAATTCAGGGTAATTCAAAACCTATTTCTGCCCCTGCCTTTGTGAAATCATCTTTGATATCAGTTTGGTTATCTACTTACACTTTTCCAGTGACATCTGGCCCCATAGAATGTTAGCCAGGGCTGCAAAGATGCCCTTTGGGTTATAATAGAGCCTGCTTCTAGCCTGGTGTGGTGCTCACGCCTTTAATCCCAGCACTGAGGAGGCAGAGGCAGGCGGATCTCTTGAGTTCCTGGCCAGCCAGGATTTCATAGTAAGATCATCTTAAAAACAAAGTGGAATGCAGAAAGCGCCACAGATAACATATAAGCAGGCGTGCTGGTGTTCAGTGGCTTCTTCACAGTGTGAATGAGAAACTACCGTCGTGTGGTCCTTGCATTGCAGGTAACAGCAGTGTTCACTTGGGAAGCAGAAGTCAAAGGAACACATTCAGGACCCCCAGCCACACAGTGCGCTCTAGGCTAAGTGGGCTAGATAAGGAGCTGTAGCTGCAGTAGGCACTTTACGCAAGTCCTAAAAGTACTGATTTACAACAGGAGTAAATTAAATAAACCCTGATGTAAGATAAATCAGATTTTCCTCTGTACAGCTATGCTGTGTTTTATGGGTCTTAGTTAGGGTTATGATTTCTGTGATGGAACACCATGACCAGAAGCAGCTTGGGGGAGAAAAGGGTTTATTTGTGTACACATCCCAAGTCATGGTCCTTTGAGGGAAGCCAAGGCAGGAGCTGGTGCAGAGGCCATGGAGGAGTGTTTCCTGGCTTGATTCCCCTGGCTTGCCCAGCCTGTTTTCTTACAAAACTCAGGCCCACTGCCCAAGGGTAGTAGTGCCACCACAGTGGGCTGGGCCTCCCGCAGCAGTCAATAATTAAGAAAATTCCCAACAGCACATGCTAAGGAGGCGCTTTCTCAGTTGAGGTCCCCTCTTCTCAGACGACTCTAGTGTCAGGTTTACCTAAGACTAGCCAGCCAGATACAGGTTCAAAATGGGTGTAGTAGATTAGGTTAAACAACAGTGGCATGGGGGCTCAAAGCTAGCACTGAGCAGTCTAAAGCAGCATGGTGGTGAGTTCAAGGTCAGCCTGGGCTACAGAGGAAAAGACCCTGTCTCCAAAAAAATAAATAAAAAATTAAGATTAAATTCAGGTGTAATTTTTCTATTCCTGAAATGTTTTTAAGGGTAACTTTGGGAGTGACCGAACCCAGGACACCACAGTCGTTTAAGTTGAGCCTTGTCATAGTACCTGTGTCACACAGTTTGGTAGATAATGTGTTCCCTAGTTTTACTGAACATACTTAGAGATGTATCACACAAAATTCAATAGATGTAAAACCCAAACTAAGCCGGGTGTTGGTAACGCACACCTTTAACCCCAGCACTCGGGAGGCAGAGGCAGGCGGATCTCTGTGAGTTCGAGGCCGGGCTGGTCTACAGAGCAAGTTCTGGGACAGCCTCCAAAACAATACAGAGAAACCCTGTCTCGAAAAACCAAAAACCCAAACTGACCCCAGTGGTCATTGATGTGTGAATATGTTACAAGTGTGACTGTGTACATAAAAATGTTTGGTATAGCTCTAAGCTGATAGGTGGTAGCTGTAATTATTTACGATAATGTTTTTCATGAAGATACGAGTTCTGGAGAGATGGACTTTTAGTTAAGGGTATAAGAGGGCCCAAGCTCAGTTTCCGGCACCCACGTCATGTGGCTCACAACCCCCTTTAACTCCAGTTCCGGGGGTCCTGATGTATGTGCACATACCCACACACATGCGCATACTTAGAATAACAGAGGCAAACTCCCTTCATGACCGTGCCCGCTGCAGTCTCCGCAGCTTGCCGGATCCGTTTTCTTTGTGCTCTCACTTAAAGTGAAGTCTTAGGGCTGGGGAAATGACTCTAAGGCTAAAGGAGCTTGCTGCTCTTCCAGAGAACCCAGGTTTGATTCCCAGCACCCGTGTCACACAGCTCCACAGGTACCCACACATATGTGCACACGGACACATAAAAAATTAACATCTGATTTCTTCTCTTTATTTTAGCGAAGAATAGCCAGAATTCAGCAGATAGAAAAGGACATACTTCGTGTACGACAGCTTTTACAGTCCCAAGCAGCTGAAGCAGAGGTTAGTAAACTGCCCTTTTATGTATGTGCCGGTGTATATCCTCTTTCCAGAAAAGAAAATGCGCATAATTAAATGTGACACGATTGAGATATGGACCTTCTTAGAGAGACTTTTTTATATATGCGTTGGTGTTTTGGCGGTATGAATATCTATGTGTAGATGCCAGATACCCCTGAACTGGAGTTACAGACAGTTGTGAGCTGCCATGTGGGTGCTGGGAATTGAACCTAGGTTCTCTGGAAGAGCAGCCAACACTCTTAACTGCTGAGCCATCTCTCTATCTCTGACACATTTTATGCCTTTCAACACTTAAAATTTAGTCACTTTAGTGTCAGCTGTCAATTCATATAATGAAATTACCGACTTGGGCCATCATTACCCTGTAAGTGGTTTTTTTTTTAATGTGTAATTAGTAGTAAAAAAAAAATTGCTCAAGCATCCTTACTGGTGGTTATGCCACAATCCTTAATGAAATGACAGTAAAAGCACAACTAGCAGGGGAAGTGACAGGAATAAACGGAAGCTCTGGAAGAGTCCCCCAGACTTCACTATTGCAGAAGTCACAGAGAATAAGAAAGCTGTGACACGCCCGGTGTGCGTTATGGAGTCCTAAAGGGGCCCAAGACTGGCTGCTCAGGCCCCTGTGAGTGTAAGTATTAAAGGGGGCTGAAGTCGGGTTAGCTGGAGGTCTGTTTAGAAGCAGGTCGGGGTGGAGCGATGCTCAGCAGTTAGAGCTCGCTGCTCTTGCAGAAGAACCAGGTCGGGTTCCCAGCACCTGCGTGGTAGGTCACGACCGTCTGTAACTCCAGTCCTGGGGCCTGATGCTCTCTCCTGGCCTCCATTGGTAGCAGGCTAGCCCATGAGGCACATACATCCTTTTGTTGTTGTTTGCTCTTGGTCTTGTTTTTTTTTGTTTGTTTGTATTTTGTTTTTTTGAGGCAAGGTTTCTTTATGTATCCCTGGTCATCCTGGAACTCACTCTGTAGACCAGACTGGCCTCAAACTCAAGAGATTCACCTCCCTCTGCCTTCTGAGTGCTGGGATTAAAGGCGTGAGCCACCTCCAACCTACGGTGCTCATACGTACATGAAGGCAAAACACCCATACAGCTAAATAAAGTTTAAAGAAGCACGTGAAACCCCCAAACTGTCCCACATCTCAACACAACTGCTTGCTGTTCCCTTTTTCAATCCTAACAGAAAATAAGTTGGGCCCCGCCCCCACTCCCCCAAGGTTAAGAATCTTTGAATAGATTATAGTAAACCTAGTATAATTAAATCTAGAAATACTGTATAAAAAGCTGGATCAGTTGAAAATTTACTCAGTGGTGAAGTCCTTGCTGTCCTCCAGTCTCATCTTCTCTGGGCAGACTTCTGGAAGCAACATAAACTTCTCTTAAGAAGCATGGGGGGGGGGGTTGGCTGGAGAGATGGCTCAGCAGTTAAGAGCACTGACTGCTCTTCCAGAGGTCCTGAGTTCAATTCCTGGCAACTACATGGTGGCTCACAACCATCTTGAAGGCAGGCAGAAGACTGTATAAACAATAAATAAATAAAATATTTTTAAAAAAAGAAGCATAAGTAGCCCATTCTGTGACCACTGTAGCTGGCAAACCTCCTTTAACTTCTTTGTAGCTAGCCTGCTCTTCAGTCTGCAGAGAGAAACCCTGTCACTAAAAACCAAAGAAAAAAATCAGGCCTTTCCAGGCGTCCAGAATGCTCAGAACTCACTAGAAGCTCTATACTTAGGGGTCTACTTTTACTGTAAGGGGCCATGACAGAAGTCAAATGGAGGACACACGCGGAGCTGAGAGCATCTGTGTGAGCCCCTGGGATCGCGCTTGCAGCCCGCACGTCTAGCCACGGTGCAAACTTATTTGGGGTTGCAGACCCAGGGGTTTTGATTTGTATTTGAGGATGTAAAATGGTGCACCCAAAATACTGGCAGCTCCTCAAAACACTAAGTGTGAAATTGCCATATAGCCTAGCAGTCCCACTCCCAGGAGTCTGAAAGAAGTGAGGCCACACTAGCTGCACAGTGATTTCTAAGTGGGGTATTCTAACAACTGTATTCATTGTAGCCCTATAGGAGAGACAATAAAAATGTGATATTGTTACGCGCTGCACTTAAAATTGGTACTATAAGTATAACATAGATGGCTTTTGAAAACGTAAGTAAAATAAACCACGTATGTCCATTCATAAAATTCTCAGGAGACTGGGGATGGCTTAGTGAATAAAGCCCTTGCTGTGCAGTTGTGAGGACCAGGGTCAGGCAGCCGGAGCCCACAGAAAGGCCACAGGTGTATGGGTTCATCAGAGCAGGGGTCAGTGAGACCCTGCCTTGGAATGTAGAATAGGGGTGACCTCACAGAAGACAGCCAGGGTCAGCTTTGAGCCTCCCCAGTGCATGCACACACATTGTTTAATTAAATTAAATGCCCAGAAAAGAAAATGTGTAAAGATATAAAGATGCAGCTTAGTTAGGCAAGGTATCGCAGGCCGGTGTAATCCCAGCACCTGGGGGGCAGAGGCAGGAGAACTGAGAGTTTCAAAGCCAGTCTAGGTGACACAGTGAGGCCCCGTCTCCCAAACAAAAACTCAAGAGAGCAGAGTAGATGAGTTGCTGCCTGGTGCTGCGTGGCGGTGTGGAGGAACTGTAACTAAGCGGGAGAGAACTTACCCAGCCCTCAGAAGGCAGAGGTGGGGTCAGGAGTTCAAGGCCGAGCCTCGGCTGCAAAGCAGGTTCAAGACGAGCCTAAGCTACATGAGCTCCTGCCTCAGAAACACAGCCTTTCTTGTCAGTCCTGTCACCTGGGGTAGAAAACTGTTTCCAGTTTACAGAGGTCGTAGGGATGTAGACACTTGTCTGCACTGCTGTCCACTAGATGTCATCAGAAGAAGAGTGACTGAGAACCGTGGTCCAACAGTGCAGGCGTGCTTCAGTCTGGGGTCAGTGAGGAACTGAAGTCACAGGCGGTCCTCTAGGCTTACTCTTTGTTTCTCTGTATCTTCTCCTCCTTACACAATCTACCTGACGCTTTAAGGCTTCAGACACCATCTCTGTGCTGTTCTTGTCCTGAGTGCCACACTCTTACCAAACCACTCAGGATTTGTCAAAGATTTTAAATCCAACATATCAAAAACATAATTAACAGTTGAGTGTGGTAGCACACACCTTTCATCTCAGAACTCAGGAGACAGGGTCTGGCAAATCTGAGTTTGGAGCCAGCCTGGTCTACATAGTGCGTTCCAGGCCAGCCAGGGCTACAGTGAGCTCGTGTCACAACAGAACAGCAGAAGCCCACCCATCCCTGTTACCGGCCTCTTCTTTTCGAGTATAGATTGTGTGAGCTGAGGATCATCAGACAGTGTCTCACACCCTGTAGCTGTTACTGGTTATTTTTACATTGCTGTAGCAAAATTAAAATCTCAGACACAACGCAGCTTCAGAGGGAGAGCAGGTTGGGAGGACAGCGTCCGTCCTGCTGGGCAGGGCTTGAAGCCGCTGGTCTGACTGCCAGCAGTCAGGGAAAGGACGGGGCTGCTGGTGCTCTGCTTTCTCCTTTCTCCTCTTCCCATTCAGTCGAGAACCCAGCTCCTACGTGGCACTGTCACTCTCAGACGTTTCCTGTCTCCTGAGTGATTCCACCCTGGTCCTCGGATGTTCAGAGCCACCTCGTGACAGAGTGCATTTAGTCCAGCTCTAACCACTCCATGGTCTTCTCAGCTCTAACACTTCAGAAATCTACTCTCTTTGGAGACTTAGGGTACTTCTTTAACTGCACAAAGTAAAATAACAGCTGTGACGTTTTTTAAAAGGTGGCATTCAGTGGCATAGTAATACTGATTGATGGACTGGAAGAAGCTTATTGTGATGATGGAAACTCTAAAACTGTGTTACGGTGATGCGTGGTAGATGAACATTCCCATTCCAACACGCAGTACTGGGAGGATAGCAAGGAAGACGAGGCCAAAATGCTGGGAAACCCAGCACAGCAGCTTCCCGCCGCTGCCCCTCTAGTTCTTGCCGCCTCTGCTGGGTGTGTCTGTTAGACAGGACAACCCTCTTCAGAACACTCTATAGTCCTGCCGCCTCCAGAGTGCTGAGCAGGGTAGGCTTCACCTTCACAGCCTCATGAAGTCTCCCGGGGCCTCCTTGCAGGGACTCTGCCCTGGCCACGCGTTCCCAGCAGCTTCCTGGACTCTCTGTGCACGTTTTCATGAGCTGTGCATCTTGACATTGGAGCCTGCAAAACCGCAGTCCTGTCCAGTTGAACTGCCAGTGTGAGGGCAGTCATGTCCGTGGTGGCCGTGGCAGCAGAACCTGGGAAATATTTCCATGGTAGTCTTCAAGTAAGGTGGCATTCTCATTTCAGTTTCTCCCCTTTCTTGTGGGTTTGTGCTTGTACAGGCGGGAGTCTTCAGTGGGTGAAGTCTTGCCTGCAAGGCGCCTTTCCTACAGAGAGAGTGAATTTCATAATTGTGCCAGTCTCTACCATTTTGGATGCTTGCCTGCTTCTTCATTTGGCAGATTCTGTATTTTCCATCGATGACTGTAAATCTAAGAGCAGTGTGTGAAACCATGCCCCAGCCTGTATGTTACGCTGTCTTCAAATTTCCCCTACCAGACAAGTCAGTCTGTTACATTTGAATGAAGCCTCACTCTGTTTTTCAGGATATGGCCAAAAGCAGACTTACTTTTTTTTTTGGAGGGGGGGAGGCGGCAGATGTAACACAGCTGGCCTCCAGCCCAGGGCCTGCAGAGTCTGTGCCCTCTGTGAAACCGAGAGCACAGTTGTCCGCCTTTGTCAGCACTGTCACAGAATGTCCCTTTACGCTCTGCCTAGCAGTGGTTCTCACCCTGTGGGCCACAGCACCTTTGGGGCCAAGCAACCCTTTCACAGGGGTCACCTAAGGCATCAGAAAAGCACATTGCAATTCGTAACAGTAGAAAAGTTACAGAAAATACTTTTATGGTTGGGGTCACGACACCATGAGGAACTGTATTATAGGGTTGCTGCATTGGGAGAGTTGAGAACCACTGGTTTATCGTGGTTTATCTAGGGTTTCTGTGGTCCACAGACCAGTTTCAGAGCCTAGCCACCATGGGCTCAGGGCTGCCACAGCAGCAGCCCCGCTCCTGCCACTTTCTGTGTAAGTTACTCCTCTGGTGGCTGTGAAAAATTGTGTCACAGAGTTAAAGAAGGGGCTCATTTGGGCTCACAGTCTGAGTGGCAGCAGCCCGTGGTGCTGGGAGGACATGGGGGCAGGATTCTGGGGTGGATAATCACACTACCCCTGCAGTCACAAAACAAGTGAGTGCTAGTGTCTGGCCACTTTCTCCTTCCCTTTGTATTCAGGGCTGGGACCCCAGGGGATGATGATGCCTGCTTTCAGGGTGGTCTTTCTTCTTGTTAAAGGCTGGCCTGGAACTCACAGAGATCCCCCTGCGTCTGCCTCCCGAGCTCTGGGATTAGAGGTGTGCACCACCAACGCCCAGCTTAAATTATCTCATGTGCATGAGTGTGTTTGCCTGCTTGTGTGTCTGTGCTCCACGTGTGTGCCTGGTGTCAGTGGAAGTCAGAAGAGGACACCAGATGCCTAGGACTGGACTTAGAGACAATTCTAAGCCACCATGTGATGCTGGAACTCTGGCTTGGGTCCTCCGGAAGCCAGGATTCTCACCCACTTTAATTCTGCTCACCAGTGACTCGTGGTACTTGAGCAATACTGTAAGCTTTTGATACACGTGATCCTGGTTTACCTAGAATGTGGCTTCTCCTGCCATCAGTTCTTCAGTCCAGTGACACGCTCTGAAAAGCCCTTGTATGCCATCCTTCATACCACTCACAGCTTTCCTTTGTAGCACTTGTCACAGTTTTGGTGTTGTTGTTGCTGTCATTATTTGACAGTGTGTCCAACTAGACCAGGCTTAGAAAGCAGACTGAGTCGTGGCTGGTTTAGTGGCACTGTGCTCCCTGGTGTCTAGGGTAAGCGGACAGCAGTGTCTTTCTGCAAACACACTGGCGTCTTCACGTGCACGGCTGCCATGTGCTTGTGGTCACCCTGGGTTTTGACTCGTCTTGTCATGGGCTGGCTGTGTGTCCACTCTGGTGGGTTTGGGTCTTCTGCTTCTGAGTGACTAAGTCACTTCTCTTCTGCTCAGCCACGGCTGTTACTAGTTTATGGTGAAAACGGTACATGTAAAGTTGTTTTTAAGTCATATTTTTAAATGGCCTAGGAAGGCTTAGAGTTAAAATTCCAGGGAGAGCATTTTAAAATATCATGATCTCTAAATCATACTCTTTATATTACAGTAGCATTTTCCTAAAGCAAGCAAATAAGAGTTTCTATAAAAGATGGTAGGAGATTATTTTATTTCTTGTATTCTGTGATGCTGTTTTTACACAAATGACTACTTTATTTTGAAATGACTACATTTATTGGGTATAATATGTCGCATTTATTTCATGCAACAGATGGTAGCTACATTAGCAGAGTTTCCTGTTTTATTTATTGTTTCAAAGAGCTGGTAATTTGGTTTCAGATGACATTAGTAGGAGATGTACACATATTCTCTGTAAAAGTAGCCTACACGGGTGCTATTTGTAAACTTAGGTGTTTGTTTAACTGCTGTATTTGCAGCTCCATTAAATGCCATAGTCATGTGTCCTTGCAGAAAGGGACAACTATTTGCTCTAGTTGGATTGTATTCCTGATGTCGAGAGGAGCACATCTGGTGGAGGATGGTGTTTCTGGAGGGGCCTCAGAAAATCCTTTGTCTTGTGCAGCTCAAGTGCTCAGGGGAGCACTCCTCTTCCCTCGATCGCAAGCCACGCTGGAGGTTGGAAGTGTGGCGTGCACTTCTGTGCCTCTGTCAACCTGTATAATTGACTCGTTAAGAGTCTGGAAGTAAAAAATAAGCTGGGAGCTATAAAGGGACACACCACTCGTGTACATAATGATGCTAACTCCATGTTAACAGAGGTCATCTCAGAGCAAGCATGAAGCTGCTTCCCATGAAGCTGAACGGCAGCATGAAGGACAAGGAGGGGCAGAGAGCAGCATGTCACCTTCTGGCGGTGGCCAGGTACGAGCCCTTCTGACTTATTTCAGATTGAGTCGGTGTTAAGAGAGGAGTGTGGAGGGGCTGACCCAGTCCTGCCCGTGTCCTTAGACTTGTGTCTAAGTACTATCGGTTTCCTTACCACACTTCATACACTCTCTGCGTTTGCTGGGCTACTCAACACTCCAGATCATGTTTCTGTGTTGGTCTCTGTGCCTGCTGTGCATAGTTTTGGAGAGCGGTTGGTTCCTGTGGTTGACCCTGTTGTTGCTGTGTCGGCATAGCTCTGCTTTCCTCTAACGCTCAGTACAAACACATGCTTCTGGGCTTGTAATGATCACAAAGGCTCCTAGAGGTTTTTTGGTTTTTGGTTTTTTGAGACAGAGTTTCTCTGTATTGTTTTGGAGGCTGTCCTGGAACTCGCTCTGTAGACCAGGCTGGCCTCAAACTCAAGAGATCCACCTGCCTCTGCCTCCGAGTGCCGGGATTAAAAGCGTGCGTCACCGTCGCCCAGTGCTCTTAGAGTTTTTACTTTCTGATATACTTCAAGATGACACAAATCTAGAAATAAATCTTAACTGAAAATGGTAATTCTGATGCTTATAAACAGTAAGCTATATACTTTATCATGTTTAACTGTTACATGTTATTTTTTACCATATATACAAATTGCCACCAATTTTCAATTAGTGGTTTATTGAAATAATATGACAGCTTTTCATTGGTGTATCCTATATTTCTCAAATTTCCTCCAACAGATATTTTTATGTTGTAAATGAATGATATTTAAAAAATAGAATTTCACTAAATTGACTTTTAAGATAATTTTCCTACTATCAACAAAAAAGATTAGTCTTTCTAGGTTACTTTTGATAGTGTTGTGTTTATACCTTTCTATTAATTCATTAATGTATAAAGCTTATAACATTTCCTGTTTAAAAACACTTCCTTTTACTGAGATAAAGCAGATACTTCATTCATCATCACTAGTTATCACTATACAGAAAAATTGTTTAATGGTGATTAAGATGAAATAATGAGTTATATAGAAGGTTGAGCTCTGTTTTTGAGAACTATGTTTTCCTACAGTGTAAAAGGAAGAAGAGCTTTATTTCATTTGACAATTGGTTGTTCAGGCTTCAAATCATATTCTAATTACCGTGTACTTCAAAAGTCTTACTCATCTGGTAGAAGCCGTCATATACTAGTGAGATCTCCGTGATACTACCTGAAACCCAACTCTAAATAGATTATACTGAATGTCGGAAGTGGAGACTGTTGTAAATACAAAATGATAGGAAGAGGTTTTCATGATGAAGTGGGTGAGAAAACCACTAAAGAAAGATCAGTGTGTTTCAGAAGAATGTCAGTACTTCCGTGTCTGAGGAAATCGAAACTAGAGCGTTAGACAACGGAAGTCATAGCCCAGGCCTGGAGAGATGGCTCAGCAGTTAACTAACAGCACTGCCAGTCTCCCAGGGGACCCAGCGTCCTCTTCCGGTTTCCAAGGGCACCAGGCACTCAGGCAAAACACAAACATACATGTAGAGGAAACCCCCATGTGGTTGTTTTGTTTTTTACTCTTTGGGGCCTACCAATAAGCTCCCAAATAAAGACTTGTTCTTGCTGATGAATGCTCGGCCCTAGCGAGGCTTGTTTCTAGCCAGCTTTTCTAACTTAAACCACCCTGTTGCTCTTTCGCTATGTTTTGCCTCTGGGCTCTTGCCTTTCTCTAGTCTGTGTGCCTTTCTTTCCTTCTTACTTCATGGCCGGCTGCGTGCTGACCCTGGCATTCTCCTCCTCCTTTTCTCACTGCTCTCTCTGTTCCCGAGATTTCTCCTCCTCTCTCTGTTCATCCTCTGCCTGCCAGCCCTGCCCGTGTCTCCTGCTTGCCTATTGGCTGTTGTGTTAGGCAGGCAGAGTAACGTCGCTTTACAGAGTTAAACAAATGTAGTATAAATAAAAGAATGCAATCTATCTTTGTATCATTAAACAAATATTCAACAGCATAAACAAGTATAACACATCTTTTTGGTTTTTTTCGAGACAGGGTTTCTCTGTAATGTTTTGGAGGCTGTCCTGGAACTCACTCTGTAGACCAGGCTGGCCTGGAACTCACAGAGATCCGCCTGCCTCTGCCTCCCGAGTGCTTGGGATTAAAGGTGTGTGCTAGCAATGCCCGGTGACACATCTTAAACTAATATTCCACAACATAACCATACATGTAAAATTAATCATTTAATTAAAATTTTTGCAGGGGAAAAATTTTTTTCACTTTTACCTTTTTTAAATTAAGATATAATTATATTATTCCCTCCCCCCTTCAATTTCAGCCCTTCAGTTCCTCAGGTGTTGATCTGTCTGTGCTATCATGACCTATTTTTCTTTGTTATTACTACATATAATATATATATGTGCATTTGTAACACATACATGTAGAAACAGAACCTGCAGAGTCTGTTTGGTATTGCCTGAATGTCCGTGACTGCAGGGCTGACACGGTAGCGGATAACCAGTTAAGGGCCTCGCCCCAGAGAAGACTTACTCTTGCACTCTCAGCATTTGGAGTAGGCTGTAGTCCAGGCGCGCCCCCTCCCCACGAGCTGTCTCCTCCACGTGAGCCTGTCTCTTCCTGTTGTCCTTGTTCAGACCTTGTGTGGGAAGCCATATTGTGAATCATGACTGACGCTTCCCAGTCATTTCTAAGACACACAATGTCACAACAGATTTCCTTGTTCTCTGGCTTTTACAAGTTTTTGATCCCTCTTCAGAGGTGCTCCCTGTGCTTTAGGGACAAGAGTTGTGTTATAAATGTATTCCCTGGAGCTGGGCACCACACATTCAGTTTTCTGGGCATTTTGACTTTTCTGTAATGGTCTGCATCTCTCTCAGAGAGAGGAGCTGCTTTGATGAAGGATGAGAGGACCTGATCTGCAGGTGTGAGGAGGAGTCTAGAGTGCAATTAGGAAGTGTGCTGGTCCAGCAGATTACTGGTAATAGTCTCCTCTAAGATCCACAATCGCAGTGGGAGCTGGTAGGTTTCCAGTGCCAAGCATGATTTCAGTTCCCTCCTGTTTAGTAGGCCTTAAGTCCTGTTAGGTTATTGTTGGTTACCAAGCCCTGAGTGCCTCTGTGTAGCCCTGGCTGTCCTGAAACTCACTCTGTAGACCAGGCTGGCCTTGAAATCAGAGATTCCCTCCCTCTGCCTCCTGAGTGCTGGCATTAAAGGTGTGCACCATCACCTCCCAGCTTCCTTGCTGGCTTTTGTTATGGTTCATAGGCACCACAGCGAGGTAGGACTACTGGTCGATTTCCTCCCTTTTCAATTTGCATAGCATCTTCTATGAAAGCTAGTCCTCAGGGAGGAGCTTGACCTTTACAAAGTCAAGATCTGCTGGGCAATGGTGGGAAGAGATCTCTGTGAGTTTGAGGCCACACTGACTGGTCTACATAGTGAGTTCCAGCACAGCCAGAGCTAAAACCTTATCACCAAAAAAAAAAAAAAAAAAAAAAAAAGAATCCTATCTAATTCGTGTTTATGTACCACATCCCTGGTAAATAATTGAGTGGTTGTAAAGGAGACCCGATATCCTTGCTAGGAGGAGTATTTCTTTTTTTTTAAAGTAATTTTATTTATCAATAATTTCAGCAATCTGCCACTCCCAGATCTAAAACCAGAAACAGGCCCGTAAGAAGCAATTTGAGAAGCACTAGTAGGCAGAAAAGATAGATAGATAGATAGATAGATAGATAGATAGATAGATAGATAGATAGATAGATAGATAGATAGACAGACAGACAGACAGACAGAGAAACAGAGATAGAGCGAGCGAGAACATTCTCGTAGGCAAGAAAACACTCATACCTCACGTACAGACTTGTACACAGCCCTTGGGAAGTGGAGGCAAGAAGATCAAGGTCTTTCTCTGTTACATATTGAGCTGGTAGCTAGCCTGGGATGCAGGCAACTTTGGTGTTAAGAGAATTGGAGCCACAAACCCCAGCCAGGAGAGACAGAAATCATTGAGATGGGACCCTGTGGGGTGTGGTCCTGCGGGGTCTACCAGAGCCCCGTTAGAAACTCAAACTCTGCTTGATTTGTCACTTGCCATGCCATTTTTGTCCAGTGCTGTCTATCTTGGCCCCTGGCTGTTGAGGGATGGACCCCCGAGTCTCTGGAAAGCCTCCAGTGTTTCGGTGAGTCCAGTGAAGCCAGGAGTCAGCAAGGAGGTTTGGACTACATGTCGGGCGTGGCCCTGGGGGATTACGGACTCTGGATGGCAGAGTCAGCAGTGGTGCTTGCAGCTGGCTGAGGACTAGGAACTGATGGGAATGTGCCTGAAGCGCCCTCTGGTGGCCGGCAGCCGTAGGCTTTGAGGAAGCCGACTGCCGTAGCCCAGCAGAACGAGGGTGTGCCTCCTCCAAGGAACGCTAGGTGAACCAAGTCTCAACTTGTTGGTCCTTCAGGTTGAGTCTGGTGCCCAGAACCCTTGGGGCCTCAAGGTCTGGGTGTGGCTCCATGTTGAAGTGGTTTCCAGTTCCTATAACTGTTCCAACTGTACCCCTGGTCAAGGGGCCCCGGGCATGGGGGCAGGGGATGCGGAGCTGCTCCTATGTCATCTGTAGCTCACCTGGAAGAGTATTTCTTGATCTGTGTTTATGTCCTCAGGAAGTTAAGTGGTAGGAAAGGCTACAAGTAAATTACTCAGGCTAGTCCCTGCTTGTTTATATAGAACCTCTTCCTTAATGGTCAGCTGTCTGTTTGAAGGTCTTTGGTAGCACCTGTAGGTGATGATGAAGTTCAAGCTCACGTTGGGAGGATGCACCAGTGGGCGATTCCACACAGCTCAGAGGCAGAGCAACCGTGACCCACAGGGACCACATCCACTTTGACACCCGTTTTCTTTCTGAGGGATATTCCGTCATTTGTTCATAAATATTTTGCTGTGCATTTCCAAGCTAAGATTACTTTTCAGGTGCATATCTGATGTCATTATTATATCCCCAAAGAAAGAAATGGTTTCTTCATAGCATTGGATAGCCTATCATGATCCATTTGGGTTGTTAGGTCTGGTCTGGTTTGGTCTGGTTTAGTTTGGTTTTTCGAGACAGGGTTCTCTGTGTTAACAGCTCTGGCTGTCCTGGAACTCACTTTGTAGACCAGGCTGGTCTCAAGCTCACAGAGATCCACCTTCATGTGCTGGGAGCATAGGCATGCGCCGCCACCCCCCACACCCAGATGCTGTTGTTTCATAAATGTGTGTGTTATATTTTGTTTGACTGAGCCCAAATAAAGGCCATGAATTTGTTGGTTTATAGCTAAAACCTGTTCTAATCTCTTAGTCATCTGTAAATTTTCCATCCTGTCCTTTGTTCTTTTTAAAATATAATTCTGACTTTGTCAATCTGCCACCTAAAGTTCAATGACTATAACATCTTTTAGAGCCCCCTCCCCCAGTAATTATTTACTGCAACCTGTGTCCACATTAGATCCATCTTCATTGTTATTGAATGCAGTTTTCACAGACCACAGACGGTCGGTCATAACCTTGTTCTGTTTTCTTTTGGGATTTTATGCAGTCTTTAGCTGTGGTGCTACTGTGGCTATATTATACTATAGTTATTTATTTTTCCTCTTTCCTGATAGAATTTCAGTGAGCCCTTTCTAAATTGTGAGAGCTTAGGAGTTGCCTATGTTTGTAATCTAAATTGCACTGCCTTTAATGTGCTTATTTCTAGAGTTCAGCTACACGAGTGGATCATGAAACAGCCAGTGTTTTGAGTTCCAGCAGCACACACTCTGCTCCTCGAAGGCTGACCAGTCATCTAGGGACCAAGGTAACGGCAGATTGCAAACTGTTGCCAAGGCTAGGAATGCTTTGCTAAGATTGGGGTGAGGGTGATGTTTTTATACAAGGAAACAAGAGGAAATGAGAAATACAAAAACTCCCAATTAGGTGCCTGTTAATTGTTTTTTCGGTTCATTATCCATTCATCTTAAAGCAAACATCTTAAGCTCTAGGCAAACTGACTTCTTCAACCCCCTATGCCTTTCCACTCCAACCTGTGGAAGAGCAGACGGTGCTCTTAGCCACTGAGCCATCCGCCCAGCCCCGCTGTCCACCTCTGTGCCGTGCCTGTGGTGGCACACACTTTTTGCCCCACCACGAAAGGCTGTCACTGTCTCTCTGCAGCTCAGGACTCTGAGCTCTGCGTCTCCAGAAGACGTTGTCTTAGTTCCTAGAGTCCTCTCAGCCATTTGCCTCCTTTGTGTCTCCTATTACCGGTTGGCATGAAACACCTCTTAGAAAACAGACAGTTTTTCTCTGTCGTCAGCATCTCACAGTATCTGCAATGATAGTTGATGAGTATTCACTGAAATGAATGGGAAAATCATAGAAATTGGATGTTAGCCAGCGCAGCAAATATTTTAAGATTAGGGGAAGTATGTGAGAAGGAAATCACTTTAGTATTTACTAAGATGGAATGCTGAGCAGTCTGCCTTCAGTCAGAACTGAAGAATTGCATTGTTTTCATAGCATACTCTATACTCTGTTTAAATAGAATGGCAGTGCTTAGGAAACACTGGCGTAACTAACATTGGTTTAAGAAATGCGTTTTAGGGCGAGGGATATAAATCATTGGTAGAATGCTTGCCTGCCGTGCCCAAGACTCTGGACTCAGTTTATTAAGAAGAAGAAACAAATGTTAGAGACAAATTTGAGGAATCAGTGCTAACCCATGATAGTTTTTATGTGGAGCCTCTCTGAGGTGAGCCTCTACATTATTGCCAGTTCTCTCAAACACGTGTAATCTTATCCTGCTGGGGAAGAAATTGAGAAGGAAGCAGCTGCTTCGGGCCACTAGAGTCTGGAGCTGACCAGATTGGTTCAGCATCAAGACACTATTGACTCTTGGCTTATGGACATTAGCAGTCAGGGTGCATTTCTGTACATTTTGAATGCAGACTTATTTTATATAGTTTTCTATATCATATAAATCCCTCCATTTTGCAGCTCAGAAAACTGATGTTCAAGAGAAGTCAAATAAATTAACTAGTACCACATAGCTTGCATACAAGTGATGGAGCCAAACTTTGAACCCAGGTCTGAAGAAAACACATTATCCACAGCCCTGTCGCTGCCATCGTAGAACTAGCAAGCACTACTGGAAGGTGTTTTCACACATCCAGAGCAGCATTTGCAACCTCAGCAACATGAGCTACGTCACTCGTTGTTATACTATGGGATGCTGAGCAGCTCCCCGGCCTCTAACAACAAGATGCCCCTAAGGCTCACACACCACTGTTAGGACCAAAAGTGCGTCTTGGGATGCAGTCAGATGCATCCTTGTGGACCTCTGGCTTACACAGATGATGCCCTGTCTTTTATGGTCTATCCTCTGACTTTGATGCCCTGTCTTTTATGGTCTATCCTCTGACTTTGATGCCCTGTCTTTTATGGTCTATCCTCTGACTTTGATGCCCTGTCTTTTATGGTCTATCCTCTGACTTTGATGCCCTGTCTTTTATGGTCTATCCTCTGACTTTGATGCCCTGTCTTTTATGGTCTATCCTCTGACTTTGAAGCCCTGTCTTTTATGGTCTATCCTCTGACTTTGATGGGTAACAACCCATGCTAACTGGATGCTGTTTTTCTATTTCTAATTTGCCTCTAAGTTAATCCTTCCAACTTATTGTTAAAGCAGCTAAGCTTACCAGTTGCTTTTATAAAAGAAAATGATGACACATCTTGGCTTTGCTACTCTCTGTGTGATGATAGTATTTTTCTTTTTATGATAAAATAATTTTATATGATAACAGAGGTCATATAACTTTAAATGTTATAATTATAATCCTGATGAAATGTGATGATTGTAGAGATTTTGTATTTAGTAGATTGTAATTGTTGCAAAATGTTTTCTATTGCTTATAAGTAAAATGAAGTTTTAAATTACATGAAGAATTTAAACTAAATACATTCCAGAGAGAGAGAGAGAGAGAGAGAGAGAGAGAGAGAGAGAGTGAATATGAATGGGTGTTTGAGAGAAAGAAAAGATGAATTATTTTCGTTCATAGTAATCAGTTAGCTTTAGCTGATGCAGGCAAATAGCAATTTCAGTACTGTAGGAACCTACTTTTTCCCAACAGTCTGCAATATTATTATTATTTATTCACATAAACCAACTGTGAATGTTATTTTGAAATAGCACTCATCACTTCATCCAGAAAAGGATCTTTTTGTTTTGTTTTAATTTTTAATGAATTTAGTAAATAATCCCATTCATCACTTCATTTGATCTGACTTTGGGTATTAAAGTGATAATTTTGTTTCTGAACTCATTTGGCCCACAGGTGGAAATGGTGTATTCATTGTTGTCAATGCTTGGTACTCATGATAAGGACGATATGTCACGAACTTTGCTAGCTATGTCTAGCTCCCAAGACAGCTGTATATCCATGCGGCAGTCTGGATGTCTTCCTCTCCTCATCCAGCTTTTACATGGCAATGACAAAGACTCTGTGTTGTTGGGAAATTCCCGGGGCAGTAAGGAGGCTCGGGCCAGGGCCAGTGCAGCCCTCCACAACATCATTCACTCACAGCCTGATGACAAGAGAGGCAGGCGTGAAATCCGAGTCCTTCATCTTTTGGAACAGATACGCGCTTACTGTGAAACCTGTTGGGAGTGGCAGGAAGCCCATGAACAAGGCATGGACCAGGACAAAAATCCAAGTATGTTTGCTCTCTGTAGTGTGCATCACGGTGCATGTTTCAAAGCGTGTGTAAGTGACAGATTAGAAACTCTTTCTAGTTTGCTGTCTTTATGAATAGGAGGGATTTGTATTAGCTACCTAACCCTGCTAACACATTAAAGGCTTAAGTCTGCATTTCCCTAAACATTTTAACAGTGGAAAACGTTATGTGCACTACTGTGCAGTCTGTCAGAACAGAACAAGCAAATCAGATGTGAGGGGGATCTGGCTGGGCAGTGTTCACTCCTCCCTTACTGCTCCATTGCTTCCCCCGAACTGAGTACGCAGTGGAAGAGGGCAGCATTCTCCAGAGGATCGTCAGCAGGGGTGTGTGCGTAGCAGCAGTCCCTGCCAGACCCTCCAGGCAAGCTTTCAAGAAGAAATTTTAATCATAAGTACAGCCAGCTGCTTTGATGGCTCATCTATGTAATCTTGGTATTTGGGAGATGGAGACAAGAGAATCGGGAGTTTGAGGTCATCTTGAACTACACAGAGTTCAAAGTCAGCCTGTGTCATAGACCTAGTGCAAAGAACCACAGAAAGAAAAAATTACTCAGTAAAGCTAAAACCAATGTGAGCAGTTAGATTGCCTTTTGAAGTAATTTTACATAAGGTTCTTCAGCAACCAAGCCATAATCTTTTACATTTTCCTATCAGCAATCACTGGACACACTCTACCTGTTGTTTCTTGATCCTGCAGTAGCCTTTATGAAGTAGAAGAAAAGGAAAGGTGTTATCATCTCCATTTGTAGATGAAACTGAGACTTAAGCTAAAAACAACTGCATATGTCCTTGAGCCTATATAGCAGAATTCTTTTCTAAGCTTAATGTAAAGGTTATTTCAAATCTTAAAAACATGTAAGAAAAAGAGCAGGGATGATTTTTTTTTTAATCCACTTAGGGAACCTTGGAGTGAGAGCTAATAGACACTTTGTTTAGAGAACATTCCTTTCTTGATGGAGAGGTATATACAGTTATTTAGTAAGTCATATTATTGCTTCTGAGAAAAATACTTTGTGTCAGGTATTGACTTGAGACTTTGCATATAGTATTAAAGATGTAAGTGCATTTTCTTGGATACCCTTTTCTTTAAATTTTTACCATGTATCTGTCTGTACGGGGAACTGTGCTAGTTATCACATATGTGTGCGACCATATGCTTTTTTTAATCCATAACCATCATTGTTGTTTACACTGAAATTAGAAGCAAAATCCAGCAGTATTATACCAAACTATATTTATCCTTTCATGTAGTCATCATTTAAAATTACTACATATATGAGCTATAGCAAAATCTATGGGAAACCCAGTCTGGCAGGCTTATGGAGTCTGGCAAGAGGTGAACGTGCCACGGAACCAAGGAAAACCCTCGGCGCAGATGCTGTTCTGCAGCTGTGGTGTTTATTCCTCATTCAGCAAATGCCTGTTGACCTCCTGACCTTCTGTACAGTAGGGACACACTCATAACCCTGTATATGGTAGAAGTGTGACAGCGTCGCTTCTAAGACAGCAGAACGTTACGGCTTAGGTCATTTTATCTTTCAGTGCCAGCTCCTGTTGAACATCAGATCTGTCCTGCTGTGTGTGTTCTAATGAAACTCTCATTTGATGAGGAGCACAGACATGCTATGAATGAACTTGGTAAGATAAAAGGGTTCCTAATGCCATGAAGAGATGCTGCTGAATTTCTAAAACAAGGAAGGAAAGTCATGATTATAAATATAGATGGATAAGTTGAGATAATGTAAGGCTCCTAACTTTGATCAGCTGCTTCCATCCTTATAGGAAAAAAAAATGGAAAAAAAAAACCCACTGTACCCTGATCTCTGTGGGATAAAGGGTCCTGTACCCAGGTCTCCATGGGAGAATGGGACCTGAATCACAGAAAATTCCTCCCTCCTACAAACAACCACTTTCAATTTTTAAAATCTTAACTAAAGAATGGAAAAATTACCAAATGGACCATCCCTGTCCCTGTTGCCCAGGTAGATCTGACAAAGGGGACAGTTTGAATTATTTGTTAAAACATCATTGTTCTTAGCCAGGCACGGATGACGCACACCTTTAATTCCAGGACTTGGGAGGCAGAGGCAGGTGGATCTATGAGTTTAAGGACAGCCTGGTCTACAGAGTGAGTTCCAGGACAGCCAGGGCTACACAGAGAGACCCTGTGGGGGGTGGGGTGGGACAGGACAAATTGTTGTTCTTGCAATGTGTCAATCACTTCAGATGAACACCAGGAAGAAGAGTTATTGAGGTTTTGATTTATCTTAATGACTATTGGTATTTTACTGTATTTTAATCGTGGTTGAAACTAGCATATGTAGAAGGACATGTTCTAATTGAACTTAGAAACATTTCATTAATTTTGGAGAAATTATTCCTTAGGTACATACTATTACATCCCCTAAACCCTGTGGAACCATTGAGCACCCTTTTTTTTTTTATGTAATGGTTTTTCTTTAATTTCTTCATTTATTGTACACATGCCACACGCCACAACTGTCCCCTGGGTTTCTGTCTTGGAATAGGTGTGCCCATGCTTTTGTGCTGTTTATGGTACATTGCATTCCAGCCCCTGCGTTGTATTCTTGGCACCCTCATCATTGTTGCTCATCATTTACTGTAAAGTGGTAAAGTTATAGACTCTCAAATACAAACTCCTTCAGAGCCAACCCCTTGGAGGACTCTGCTCCCCAGCCATGCTTTTCTTCCACAGGCCTGCCTGGTCCTCTTTCCAGTGTCCTGTGAAACCTCATTTAATCTTAGTTCAGTCTCAGCATTTGTGAATTTATTTTCCTAAAACTAACAACGGGAAAACTCAGTTTTAAGATATTGAAAAGATTTTTCTATAAGTGTTCATATGTTCCAATGGACTGTAGACTAGGACTGACACATTAATTATCTGAATTTCAGAATAAAACTTAGACTCAGTATTTGTTCCTCTTCTTCTTCAGGTAGGAAGGCTACCCGGGGCATTTCATCACAGGAGCTAGGTCAGGGGCTTTCAGGTGAGGAGCAGGACGGGGCCTCGGGGGTGTGACTGGGGACATAGCCACAGGGTTACCTTCCTCTCACTCCTCGTCTTCAGATTTGCACTGGGGCAAAAGAAGAGTTAAGGTTTGTGAGTCACAGGGGGAGTGTAAGACAGCTCAGGGATCTGGACGTAAGGAGTAAAGAAGGTGTCAGTCCCAGTTAGGTGAGGAGAATTCTTAAGCCTAGTCACTGAGCACTGTCACTTGTGTGTAGGTGAGGATCTACCACTGTCAGGGTTTAAGTTTGCACCTGTTAGTACCAAACGTTTCAGATTGTACTATCAGTGATGTATATTTGTTAATTGCTGCACACTGGAGTTTTCAAATGATTAAGACATTCCCTGGCCTCTGGTGAAAGCGTAATTTACTTACATTAATATTTCACAAGATTTCTAGATCATAACAGTCAGCAGAGGTACTGGCCCAGGCCAGGTAGATTTTTCCAGCCCTGTAGCAAACAGACTCCCCAGAGTGAGACCCCAGGAATCCCATTAAATAACCAGCCTGAGTGATGCTTATGATTGTGAAACTGAAATATCAGTCTACGGAATATTGACGTGGACCCCTAATACTCATTTTAGAACAGGACATCTCATACTAATGATGGCTATCTAAGCCATATGATTAAAAGAATTCTATACTTTTGAAAAGTAAATATCTTGTTTTAGTTAGAGTCTAACATATGGGTTCTGTTAATATTATGTAAAGCAACTAAATCTTCCTTATTTGTAAGGTAATGAAACATCATATTAATAATAAGCTCATCTAGACCACTATTTTCTGACAGACCCAACAATACAGAGGATATACTCACCTTTGCATTGAAGCATACTGATTTCTCATAGGACAGTCAATTTTTATTCTGCCAACTATGAATTTGTATCATATTTCAGTGAATCCTTTTATAGTTTTAACCTGGGAATTATATTCTTTGCCTCAGAATTCTCTGATTTTTTTCTTTTTACTTGCCTGAAATTTATAAAGAGATCTCTTTTATCAAAATTCCAAGTTTTACTAATATTTTTCATCAGTCATAGTCTTTATAGAATTATTGGCATACAGTATATCTTGCTGTCGTCTTTCTTTAAAATAAATCCTAAAATTGATATTTTGGGATATAGGAGTTCTGTGACAGTTGAAGACCTTCTTAGCACCTTCTTTAGACCATTTTATCTTTGTTAGGCAGTAACCCAGCTCCTGCACTAGGCAAGAGTTTATGCAGAAACAAAGCATGTGTGTCTTGCCTTGGTCCTGAGACTCTGCATCACAGTGCTGTACGTCTTGAGCGTCTCATGGGTATCCTGAGCCAGTCTTCAGTTCTTCGGTGACACCCTAGTCAGCATCTCACATGAAAATATCAGTTATGTTTCTGGCTCCTTCTCCTTTACTCAGCTATACAAAGCACCGGCATCCATTGAAGCTCGGCCCTCTGCTGTCCTGTCTACTCCTAGGGCTCCACCTACTGGATCGGTCACTATTCAGCCTGTGTGTTTCTGATTCATATCTCCATCTGACTTTTCCCTCCTAAGTTTGTGTGTGCTGGGCAAACCACCACCAAACCCTTGGATATGTTTTCATACCACTTATCTGACGTCTTCCTTTATATGGTATTCTAGACATTTCTAGCTGAACTCTCACAAATGGAATTTGTTCCTCCATTCCCAAATCTGTCTCTTCCAGGGTTCCCTTTGGGAGTCTAATAACCCAGTTGCTCAAATCAAAATCTTAGGAAAATCATCCATGACTGCATTGGTATCTCCTACATTTAATAACTGAGCATTTTAATCCTATTTCTTGAGTATATCTCAAGCCAGGCATGGTGGAACACACCTGTAATCCCAGTGCTTGGGAACAGATGGGTGTTGATCTGTGAGTTCAAGGCTTGTCTGGTCTACATAGGGAGTTCCAAGTCTGTCGGGGATGCATAGTTTGTGTGCACGTGTCTGTGTCTGTGTATCTGTGTGTGCGCGTGCGTGTCTGTGTGTGTGTGTGTGCGCGCGCGTGCGTTTGTGTGCACGTGTCTGTGTCTGTGTGTATCTGTGTATGCGTGTCTGTGTGTGTGTGCGCGCGTGTGTGTATCTGTGTGTGCGCGTGCGTGTCTGCGTCTCTGTGCGTGCGTGTGTGTCTGTGTGTGCGCGCGCGTGTGTGTATCTGTGTGTGCGTGTCTGTGTGTGCGCGTGCGTGTCTGTGTCTCTGTGTGTGCTTGCGTGTGTGTCTGTGTGTGTGTGTGCGCGCGCGCGTGTGTGTATCTGTGTATGCGTGTGCGTGTCTGTCTGTGTGTGCGCGTGCGTGTCTGTGTCTCTGTGTGTGCGCGCGCGCGTACACATATGATTGCTGTTCCTCACCGTGAGGCAGGCACCACTGTCTGTGGGTCTGCACGCTGCACTCGCATGCTCCGTGCCCCCTGTGCCTCTAGCTGTCCTCTTCCTGACGTCCCCGCCTGCTTGCTTTTGTAGCTTCAGTTGATGGCCCCCTCCTTGTTGGGCCCTTACACAGACGTTTTCTCCTGCCTGGAGTAATTCTTTCTCTCCCTTGCCTACCCTTGTTAGATGCTCATCATCCATTAGATTTCACCTTAAACTGTGTTCCCAGACCCTTTGCCAGTGTTCAGAGAACTGCCTGTCATCTCTTTTTGTCCTGCAGAACCTCCTCTAGTTAAGCTACCTTGTCTTACAGTTCTGAGCTCAACACAGATCTTCGTTTTGTAAGCTTGCAGATCCTTCTGCTCATCTTGTCGTGTTCTTCATAAGACGACAGACAGTGCACTGGGTCTTTCAGGTCAGCAGCCTGCTGAGACTTGCAAGCACGTCCTTTTTTTTAATGTCTGAGCAACTTCTCTTTGACAAAACAATATCCAGTCCTGTGGTGGTGATGTTGGTGATGATGAGTAGTCCTTTAGTAGTCGATGTGCTTTTTCTTTTATTCTCGTCCCCACCACTCTGTGTCACTCTTTTGTAAGCCCCTCCCTTCCTGTCTTCCCCTCTCCTCCCATTATGTTTTCTCCTCTGCTTCCACAGTTGTCACTGAGTGTTGTTAAGCATGCTTGCTAGTTACGTGTTAGGGAGAAGGAGAACCCTGAGTCCGGGTATGGTGGGTGTGTAGCAGTGTCAAAGGGAAGCAAGATTATGTTTTAAAGAAATTTTACAGAACTTTGTAGTTGGTTGAATAGATCATTCTTTTCATGAAAGAAGTTTTTGCTTCAAGCACGATTTCATTTAGAAGTTTCACTATTCCTAAGGATACTTATTTGACACATTTAAAAAGTATTAGGCCATAGTATATGACAATGGAAAGTAGTTTTAAGACCCTTATAATAGCAATACATTAATTTTTCTGTGTAGGTGTAGGAAGACCAGTGTTAACAAATAGCCTTTATTGTTGGCAAGGCATAGTGTATGTCAGTGAATAGAAAATAATGTTTATTTCATCCAGTAGAGCTAGAGGCTGGAGGGTGGAGACGCTGACAGAAAGTAGAATCGTCAGTTGTAAAGAACAAAGTTTTGTGGCTTTTAATTCTAAAGGCAAATTTAAATCATGTATTATCATTCTTTGAGATTTTTCCCCCCTGGTTTTTAAGTTACCAAATTATACCAGCTTATTTGATTCTAGATTATTTTATTTTTCCTTTTCCCCTTGTTAAATTAGGGGGACTGCAGGCCATTGCAGAATTGTTACAGGTGGACTGTGAGATGTATGGGCTTACTAATGACCACTACAGTATTACTTTAAGACGGTATGCTGGAATGGCTTTGACAAACTTGACCTTTGGAGATGTTGCCAACAAGGTATGTCTTTTGTAAGATTTATTTCTTAAGAGAGCTCAGTTAGGAGTTCATTTATTTTCATAAAAACAACTTTTTTTAACTAAAGAAACAAAGAGTTACTACTGATTTTTTTTTTTTTTTTGGTTTTTTGGTGTCTCCCACCCCACCCCAGTTGAACAGTGACTAATAAAAGTTCCTTTCTCACCACTGCACACCCCTGCTTAGTAGGTTGTCTTTGCTAAACAAAGCAAAAGTGCACCTGACGGTGGAATGCTGTCCTGAACTTACACAGTCGCACCAGCAGCATTGCTCCTCATTATGGAGATGCAGCAAAGCATGGACGCTCACTCTCCTTTAGGAAGTGCAGATCTCCAGCACCAAAGGGAACAATAATCAACAGTGTCCCGGGAGTGAGAGGAAAGCACTGTGACAAACAATACACGTACTCAGTCCCTCAGACAGACAGCTCTATCCTCTGCTTATCATTTCTCAGGGTTTTGTTTGGTTTCCCCCGGTTAAGTAAAGGAAATATCTAACCAGAAATAGGAGACATCCGTCTTTCAGCTAGGTGATCTTGTTCTGGGTGTTATACAGGTAAAATAACATCTATGATTGAAGTAAAAACCAGGTTTGAAATTCAATAGCAAGGCTGGGCAGTGGTGGCGCACGCCTTTAATCCCAGCACTTGGGAGGCAGAGGCAGATGGATCTCTGAATTCGAGGCCAGCCTGATCTACAGAGTGAGTTCCAGGACAGGCTCCAAAGCTACAGAGAAACCCTGTCTCAATTAAAGAGAAAAAAAAAAAAGACAACTCAGTAGCTAGGAAGGAAGCCGTGTCAGGCTGGCTCATTGATGGTCCTGTCGCACATCTACCCTTACAGGCGACGCTGTGTTCTATGAAAGGCTGTATGAGAGCACTCGTGGCCCAGTTAAAGTCTGAAAGTGAAGACTTACAACAGGTACTGCTTAATGTTTTCTTAGGTAGTAATGCTTAATGAACTGGGTTATATTAAGCTTTGGCTCAATATTTAGTTGTTTATGTTAAAGTATGGTTCTATTAATGCTAAAGTAATTATATTGAAGTAATTCCTTTTGGCACCCTAGTAACATGTGTGAGAGAAATTTACTTTAGGCAGAAAATTCCTATTTTTATTACTATAATCAATCATATTTATTGTACAAATCAGTGCGTTTCACGTATGACCTTTCAATACATGCAGAGACCATGCTTTGATCGTGTAGCTAGAGCATTCCTAATCCAAAATGTGAAAATATTTGTATGCTGTTGACATGACACCACATGTGGAAAATCTGTGCTGTGAGACTGTTCTGTGCGCTAAGTTATTAAAATACTATATAAAGTTACCTTTGGGTTATATATGTAAGATACATCTATACAGAACATAATCTCATACCCAGGGAATCTCACGCATATATATACAAATATTCAAGAAACCAATTTTAAAATCAAGACACTTATGATGCAAAGCATTTAGATAAGGTATATTTAACTTGTAATAGATTCCTACTCTTACCTCTAGCATTAGAAACAAAAAGATAACTACTATGAAGCATTATATGTAAGTTATTCTAAACTTGATTCTTTGCAGGTTATTGCAAGTGTTTTGAGGAATTTGTCTTGGCGAGCAGATGTAAATAGCAAAAAGACATTGCGAGAAGTTGGAAGTGTGAAAGCGTTGATGGAATGTGCTTTGGAAGTTAAAAAGGTAACCTTTTTTTTTTTTTGGTTTTTTTTTTTTCGAGACAGGGTTCCTCTGTGGCTTTGGAGGCTGTCCTACTCGCTTGGTAGTCCAGGCTGGTCTCGAACTTACAGATATCCGCCTGCCTCTGCCTCCCGAGTGCTGGGATTAAAGGCGTGCGCCACCAACGCCCGAAAAAGGTAACTTTTAAAATGCTCAGTACTATATATAATAGGCAATCTGCCTGCTTCTGCCTCCTGAGTGCTGGGAGACCCTGCCTGAAACAAGGGGGGAAGCAAGAAACCAGCGTCAGAGGCTGTCCTCATTAACCTGCACACAGTAGTGTGCACACACCTAACTCACACACACACTTGCACACTCATCATACGCATATGTGCAGGTTCTGTGTAAAGATATATTTGATACCGCTAAATAGGTGATGAGGACTGATTCTTCAAAAAGATAATAGCCACTAAATGCTAAAAAGATAGGAATAGCCACTCAAAACTGCTAAAAAAGGGTATAGACAATCATTTGTTATTAAAACTAAAGTGAGATGCTGTTACACATGCCATACTGGCTTGAAGTTAAAAAGTAAACCACATGTCAAGTTGTTGACCAACTGGAGGCATTCTATACTGTTGTGCGGAATGTGAAATTGTATAAGCACTCAGGAAAACGTTTGTACATGAGTTCTTGTTAAACATACACTTTCCACTCCATTCTTAGAATTTACCCACAGAACAAAAACTAATGTTCTCACACAGATTTAAACATGAATGTTCTTCGTAATTTTGTAATGACCAAAAGTCAGAAGCGACTGTAATGACTGTCATTAGGTAAACAGTTAGCAAACCGTAAAGTATATGTACAATGAAATTTTTACAGCTATAGAAAGAATGAACTAGTTAAGTAAGTGTTACATTCCTATAGCTCCAGCCTACCCAGCAGAGTATGTTGGGAGGATTACTCAAGCCCAAGAGTTTAAGACCATCTTAGGCAATATAATGGGGGTCTGACTTAAAAAGAAGAAATGGGTGTGTGTGGATGTGTGTGCATGTATCTGTGAGAGTGTGTTCGTGAGTTCACGCATGTGCAGACTACAGATACATGTAGGATGTCTCTCTCAATACTCTTCAGTTGGTCTTTGGTTTGTTTGGTTTTGAGCCCAGGTCTCATGTAGCACAGGCTAGAACTCAGTGTGCAGCCAGGGATGACCTAGGACTTCTGATCCTCGTGCCTCCCCCCTCCCAGGTGCTAGGTCACGGGCCTGCGGCCCACCCCTTGTTTGCTATTGTGTATGTCTGTGTATACATGTATGTCTGTGTTTCACATGCATGCCTGGTGCCCTCAGAGTCCAGAAAGAGGGTGTTGGGTCCTGTGGAGCAGCAGCTGAGTGCTCTCAACTGCTGAGTCCTCTCTCCAGCCCACACGTCCTCTCAGTGAACCTGGAGCTCATCTGTTACACTAGGCTGGCGAGACCTCTTCCAGACTTTGCTTTCCCAACGCACACTGCCACACCCAGCCTTAACTCAGGTACTCATGCTTGTGCGGCAAGCATCTTACCAGAGGAATCATCTCCCAGCCCAAAGAACAAAGTATTGAAAATAAATAACAAGATTATTTCAAAAGACTTCTCCAATTGACTTTTTGTTTGTATGCATGCATGTATATCTGCACATGTGTACATGCCTGTGTGGGCACATGTTGAGGTCAGGGAATCTCAGGGGTTGATTCTCTCTTTCCACCGTGGACTCCAGGGATTGAACTCGGGTCGTGGGGCCGATGTGGCAGGTGCTTCTTTGTTGGACCGTCCCGCCAGCCCCACCGGGTACCGTTTGAGTGGGCTCAACAACCGTCTGCAGCCTTGCAAGGTTTCTTTTGTTCCTGAAGTTCTCTTTAGCTTGTTCTTTTTTAATCTTGGACAGCAGCACCAGATAGCGTCCGCAGAGGAGGGAGAGTCTAGGTTAACCCTTTGCTCACTGAGGAGGATGCTAGTGTTGAAAGTGAAGCAGCGGTTGTCTGGGCTCTGATAGAATGAAAGCGTGGTAAGACCGTGTCTGTGAAAGATAATAAACCTCCATGAACTTTTGAGGAAGTTGGTCTCTGTGTCTCACACCCTGCTGTTTAGAGCTGTCGCTCCTTCCTCTGTCTTTAGTTCTTTATGCTTCAGCTGTCCACAAAGATCTGCATATTTCAACAGGAGAGACTTCTAGTTACTAGACTATCTCTTTTCCTGTAACAACCAAAGTCAGGAATGAGTGGCTGCTTCAGTCCTCCTAATTTGACCCGATAGCTTTTCCTTGTCTCAGATCTGCTTAGCTTTATTTATTTAGGTTTCCTCTCCTCCTGCCCTCTACACGTTTTGATCAGTTACTGTTCTGTAACTCTTCCTTATTTCTAATCGCTAGTCATTTCCTCTCCTCAAGCGCTTCTCCACATCCTTCTCTGATCCCATCCCGTGTATACTACACGCATGGCTGTACGCCTGCGCTCCACCCCAGCTGCAATCACTTCAGCCGTGAGCCTTGCTCACTGTGGCCGTTGGCTGTGGCCTGCAGTCTCGGGAACTGCTGTGCTCTTGGACCTTTGACTCCAATTGGAGTCAGCTCAGTGCCTCACTCTTTGGGTTTGTTTGTTTGAAGTGGTTTCTCTGTGTAGTCTTGGTCATTCTGGAACTCACTCTGTAGACCAAGCTGGCCTTGAACTCACAAAGATCCGCCTGCCTCTGCCTCCCGAGTACTGGGATTAAAGGTGTTCATTCACCACCACCGCCGCCAGTTTTCCTCACTCTTAAGTTTTTGCCACTTTTCCCCTTGATCATCCTTCCTTTATTTCCATCACATTGTAATTAAATTGAAGTCGGGACCTTCTCTCTCACGTGCGTGGGGGGGGATTTCATTGTTGTGTTTGTTCTTGTTTCATACTGGGTTTCATGTAGAGAGGCTGGCCTTCATTTTGTAACAGTCCTCCTATTTTGTTGTGTTTGTTCTTGTTTCATACTGGGTTTCATGTAGAGAGGCTGGCCTTCATTTTGTAACAGTCCTCCTATTTTGTTGTGTTTGTTCTTGTTTCACACTGGGTTTCATGTAGAGAGGCTGGCCTTCATTTTGTAACAGTCCTCCTATTTTGCCCTCCCAAGTGCGTGAGCCACACACCTGGCTACTGAGTTACATGAATCTGGCCGTTTTTAGGTTAGGTACCATGAGTTACTGGGAATTAGGCTCTATATGTCTGCACAAGACATTGGGGTTCAGACTCCAAGTAAAGTAATTGAGACCCTGTTGGGAACTTAGCTTCTGGTGTTTTCTCTCTACATCATCTACATTATCCTCAGTGTTGTATCCATTGTGAGGTGTTTGTATTAAATTCAGACTGCATAGCCTTCTTTTTAGAGTGCGGTGTTTTCTGTATTGTCTGCAGTGCTTCTTGTTCTGCAAGGAACAAATATGTTTCTACTGAACACTCCTTGATGACATCATAAAAAGAAACACTGACGTTTGGAGTGTAACAAATTATGACCAGATATCGTTAATTGTGTACCAGAGTATTTCTGTGACAATTAAAATTTTTGCATATTAGGGAATTTGGCCTTTTCATAACTTTGTTTCTTTAGAGTTTTAAGAATTTTTACATTTTCTAAGTCACATTGTTTTTAATCAACATCAATGAATACATGTTTGTTTTTAATACAAATAGAATATTACATAACCTGCTGTGCAGTGCATTGCCTTTAGTACTTAGATGCCCTTCCATACCCACGTGCAGTTTATGAAGGTGTTTTAATTGAGTTTCTGTTATCCTGATAATATCCAGTATCAGTGGATATCAGTTCTGCTTCACATTCTGGGTTCATTAGAGGTACATGTCTAGCATCTAAACACGTAGACTGAAGGTGGTTAGTTTAATACTGTGGTGTACTCTAACTCTGCTTCCGTCACCACCAGGAGTCAACCCTCAAGAGTGTCTTGAGTGCCTTATGGAACCTGTCTGCACACTGCACTGAGAACAAAGCTGACATTTGCGCTGTGGACGGAGCGCTCGCGTTCTTGGTTGGCACTCTCACTTACCGAAGCCAGACAAACACTTTGGCCATTATTGAAAGTGGAGGTGGGATACTACGCAATGTGTCCAGCTTGATAGCTACAAATGAAGACCACAGGTACATACCACGTCTTATATTGCTTTTCAATGGAGTATTAAGAGTTTGTTTCTTTAGAAGGACCTAACTGTAAAACGTCTTATGTCATTATGAAAGCTTTATGCAAAATGTCCTTATTGCTGTGCGAAGATAACTACAACTCCTACAGTAACTGATTTGCATGTTTTTGCTTGTAAAGTCTGAAGAATCTTACAGGGATCTACAATAAATAAAGGGCAGTTGAGAAGTGCAGTCTATCTGTAGAAAAATGAATAAAAGTCAAAGTGCTTTTTAACTCTTACCTATCTAGATGACATAAAGGAGTATAAAACTAATTTTTAAGCAAAGAAAAAACTCCCCAGTATGATCTAGGATGTATAATGGCTCAACATTTTTCTGATTGCTTAATAATTGCCAGCTATTCATCCAGCCTACTAAACTGTGAAGCTTCAGAAATCACTTCAAATTAGGGTGCACATCGTTATCCTTACGTGTTACATTTTCACTGTGCATATCTGTTACATGGCAACAAAACATAGGTATCCTTCACAACTTACTAATGTAAGTTTTTGATGCATAAACCGGAAGTTTCATGTTATTTTCTGCTATGCAGAGAACCCTTAAGTTCAGTGACATCTCAGTTGATACTGAACTGAGGATATCCACCATGGTTTTTTCTTTTCTTTCCATTCATTTTTTTTGTTAGTATATATTATTGTACAAAACATTGGGTTTCATTCTTTGATCATATTTACCTTCTCTTGTCTCCCTCTTCCTCCCAGTGGAGAAGACAGTATTGATGCTTATTGTATACCCTGGCCAACAATTTTAAAGTTCACTAAAGTAGAATATCCTGTCACTAGATGTGAGTTTTTCTCATATTTAAAAGGCTATAGGTCTCTCCAGGACCCAAAGTTCATTATGTTGACTTTTAGCCTTCGTATTTATATGCTTTTTGTATTTTTAAAGCCTGTACTTCATGTTATTTTTTTTTAAATAATGAGTACATGCATAGTCTGCCACAGAGCATGTACAAAGGACACTGTCGGCACTGTCACCGAGACAGAGATCACTCTAGAAAGCAAGCTTGCTGGTCTAGATGCGTGTGTGCTCCCTGACTATGTAGACATCTGTCAGTCACCTATCTTCTGCGTCCAAGAGATCTCAGTATTCAACATGGTTGCTTCACTGTGTATTAAATCACCACAGTCCCTGTTTAAGATTTCATGGTGTGTTTGTAATAGAAAACTATTACTACGTGAAGGGAGAAAATGTATCTGCTCAAAACAATTCTTTTTTCTTGTAGTGGATCAGAATAGGACAGAGAATAGTCACTGCTTTTGGTCTGACAGATGGATACTTTAAAACAGTAAACATTAAATGACCCAAGAGAACAAAAGCAGAGCTGACATGCTCGAAGTTGACAAGAGAAATAATGTGCTCATGTCACTCTGTTGTGTTTAGTAATCCTTTCTATTTAAAGTTGCTGTCACTAATCACATTTTCCCCCTGAATCTCACGTGCTCCTGTTTTAACCCAGGCAAATCCTAAGAGAGAACAATTGCCTACAGACTTTACTGCAGCACTTGAAGTCTCACAGCTTGACAATAGTCAGCAATGCGTGTGGGACACTGTGGAATCTCTCAGCAAGAAACCCCAAAGACCAGGAAGCGCTGTGGGACATGGGGGCGGTCAGCATGCTCAAGAACCTCGTCCACTCCAAGCACAAAATGATCGCCATGGGCAGCGCCGCGGCGCTGAGGAACCTCATGGCAAACAGGCCTGCCAAGTACAAGGATGCCAACATTATGTCTCCTGGGTCAAGTCTGCCATCCCTTCATGTCAGGAAACAGAAAGCCCTAGAAGCAGAGTTAGATGCTCAGCATTTATCAGAAACCTTTGACAACATTGACAATTTAAGTCCCAAAGCATCTCATCGTAGTAAGCAGAGACACAAGCCAAATCTCTATGGTGACTATGTTTTTGACACCAATCGACATGATGATACTAGGTCAGACAATTTTAATACTGGAAACTTGACTGTTCTTTCACCATATTTAAATACTACAGTATTGCCCAGCTCTTCTTCATCAAGGGGAAGTTTAGACAGTTCTCGTTCTGAAAAAGACAGAAGTTTAGAGAGAGAACGAGGTATTGGCCTCAGCACTTACCATTCAGCAACAGAAAATCCAGGATCCTCTTCAAAACGAGGTTTGCAGATCTCTAGTACTGCAGCCCAGATCGCCAAAGTTATGGAAGAAGTGTCAGCCATTCATACCTCCCAAGAAGACAGAAGTTCCGGGGCTGCCACCGAATCCCACTGTGTGACGGATGAGAGAAACGCGGCGCGAAAGAGCTCCGCTTCCCATACACATGCAAACACTTACAGCTTCACTAAGCTGGAAAACTCCAACAGGACGTGTTCCATGCCTTATGCCAAAGTGGAATATAAGAGATCTTCAAATGACAGTCTAAATAGTGTCAACAGCAGTGACGGGTATGGTAGAAGGGGTCAGATGAAACCCTCAGTCGAGTCCTATTCTGAAGATGACGAAAGTAAGTTTTGCAGTTATGGTCAGTATCCGGCTGATTTAGCACATAAGATACATAGTGCGAACCATATGGACGATAACGATGGGGAACTGGACACACCCATAAATTACAGTCTTAAGTATTCGGATGAGCAGCTGAACTCTGGGAGGCAGAGTCCCTCACAGAATGAAAGATGGGCAAGGCCGAAGCACGTAATAGACGATGAAATAAAGCAAACTGAGCAAAGACAGTCAAGAAGCCAAAATACCAACTATCCTGTCTATTCTGAGAGCACTGATGACAAACACCTCAAATTCCAGCCGCCACATTTTGGACAACAGGAATGTGTTTCCCCATATAGGTCCAGGGGAACTAGTGGCTCAGAAACAAATCGAATGGGTTCTAGTCATGCAATTAATCAAAATGTAAACCAGTCTTTGTGCCAGGAAGATGACTATGAAGATGATAAGCCTACCAACTACAGTGAGCGTTACTCTGAGGAAGAGCAACATGAAGGAGAGGAGAGGCCGACAAACTATAGTATAAAATATAATGAGGAGAAGCACCATGGGGACCAGCCTATTGACTATAGTTTAAAATATACCACTGACATTTCTTCCTCACAGAAACCATCGTTTTCATTTTCAAAGAGTCCATCAGCACAAAACACTAAAACTGAACATCTCTCTCCAAACAGTGAGAATACATCCACACCTTCATCTAATTCCAAAAGGCAGAATCAGCTGCATCCAGGTTCAGCACAGAGAAATGGTCAGACTCAAAAAGGGACCGCTTGCAAAGTCCCCTCCATCACCCAAGAAACAATGCAGACGTACTGTGTAGAAGACACCCCCATATGTTTCTCCAGGTGCAGCTCACTGTCATCACTGTCATCGGCTGAAGATGAAATAGGGTGTGGCCAGACGACCCAGGAGGCAGATCCTGCTAATGCTCTGCAGATAGCAGAGATAAAAGAGGGTGATGTTCCTCGATCAGCGGAAGATCCTGCAAGCGAAGTCCCAGCAGTGTCCCAGAGTGCTAGACCCAAACCCAGCAGACTCCAGGCTTCTGGCTTATCTTCAGAATCAACCAGGCAAAAGGCTGTAGAGTTTTCTTCAGGGGCCAAGTCTCCCTCCAAAAGTGGTGCTCAGACGCCCAAAAGTCCCCCCGAGCACTATGTCCAGGAGACCCCACTTGTGTTCAGCAGATGCACCTCCGTCAGCTCGCTTGACAGCTTTGAGAGTCGCTCCATTGCCAGCTCTGTGCAGAGCGAGCCGTGCAGTGGGGTGGTGAGTGGCATTATCAGCCCCAGTGACCTTCCAGACAGCCCTGGGCAGACCATGCCACCAAGCAGAAGCAAGACCCCTCCACCTCCTCCACAGACAGTCCAGACCAAGAGAGAGGCGCCAAGAAACAAAGTCCCTGCTGCTGAGAAGAGAGAGAGTGGACATAAGCAGACGGCTGTGAATGCTGCCATCCAGAGGGTGCAGGTCCTTCCGGACGCCGACACTCTATTGCACTTCGCCACAGAAAGTACTCCGGACGGGTTCTCCTGTTCATCTAGCCTGAGCGCACTGAGCCTCGACGAGCCGTTTATACAGAAAGATGTGGAATTAAGAATAATGCCTCCAGTTCAGGAAAATGACAATGGGAACGAAACTGAACCAGAGCAGCCTGAAGAATCAAATGAAAGCCAGGACAAAGAGGTAGAAAAGCCTGATTCTGAGAAAGACTTATTAGATGATTCAGACGATGATGATATTGAAATATTAGAAGAGTGTATTATTTCAGCCATGCCAACAAAGTCATCACGCAAAGCCAAAAAGCTGGCCCAGACTGCTTCAAAACTACCTCCTCCCGTGGCAAGGAAACCAAGCCAGCTGCCTGTGTACAAACTTCTGCCGTCACAAAACAGGCTGCAGGCACAAAAGCATGTGAGCTTTACCCCAGGAGATGATATGCCCCGCGTATACTGTGTAGAAGGGACACCTATAAACTTCTCCACCGCAACATCCCTAAGCGATCTGACAATAGAGTCCCCTCCAAATGAGTTAGCTGCTGGAGACGGGGTTAGAGCAGGTACGCAGTCAGGCGAATTTGAAAAACGAGATACCATTCCTACAGAGGGCAGAAGTACAGATGAAACTCAGAGGGGGAAGATCTCATCCATGGTTATGCCAGACCTGGATGACAGTAAAGCAGAGGAAGGAGACATTCTTGCAGAATGTATCAATTCTGCTATGCCCAAAGGAAAAAGCCACAAGCCTTTCCGAGTGAAAAAGATAATGGACCAGGTCCAGCAAGCATCAGTGACTTCATCTGGAGCTAACAAAAATCAAATAGACACTAAGAAAAAGAAGCCTACTTCACCAGTAAAGCCCATGCCACAAAATACTGAATATAGAACACGTGTGAGGAAGAATACAGAGTCAAAAGTTAACGTAAATGCTGAAGAAACTTTCTCAGACAACAAAGACTCAAAAAAACAGAGCTTGAAAAGCAATCCCAAGGACTTGAGCGATAAGAGCTTGAGGAGCAACCCCAAGGACTTGAGCGATAAACTGCCAAACAACGAAGACCGCGTCCGCGGAAGCTTCGCCTTTGACTCACCGCACCATTACACCCCCATTGAAGGAACTCCTTACTGTTTCTCACGAAACGACTCTTTGAGTTCTCTGGATTTTGATGACGATGATGTTGACCTTTCCAGGGAAAAGGCCGAGTTAAGAAAGGGGAAAGAAAGTAAGGAGTCAGAAGCCAGAGTTACCTGCCACACAGAGCCAGCCTCAAGCCAACAGGCAGCTAGTAAGTCACAGGCTAGTACAAAACACCCCGTAATCAGGGGACAGTCTAAACCCGTGCTTCAGAAACAACCCACTTTCCCCCAGTCCTCCAAAGACTTGCCAGATAGAGGGGCGGCAACGGATGAAAAATTGCAGAATTTTGCTATTGAAAATACTCCAGTTTGCTTTTCTCGAAATTCTTCTCTGAGTTCCCTTAGTGACATCGACCAAGAAAACAACAATAACAAAGAAAATGAACCAGTCAAAGAAGCTGAACCTACCAGCTCACAAGGGGAGCCAAGTAAGCCTCAGGCATCTGGGTACACGCCCAAGTCGTTTCACGTTGAAGACACCCCCGTCTGCTTCTCGAGAAACAGCTCTCTCAGTTCTCTGAGCATTGATTCTGAGGACGACCTGTTGCAGGAGTGTATAAGTTCTGCAATGCCAAAAAAGAAGAGGCCTTCCAGACTCAAGGGTGGCAGTGAAAAGCAGAGTCCCAGAAATATGGGCGGCACAGTAGCTGAAGACCTGACACTTGACTTGAGGGACATCCAGAGGCCAGATTCGGAACACGCTTTATCTCCTGATTCGGAGAGTTTTGACTGGAAAGCTATTCAGGAAGGCGCCAACTCCATAGTAAGCAGTTTGCACCAAGCCGCCGCGGCCGCCTGTTTATCTAGACAGGCTTCATCTGACTCCGATTCCATCCTGTCCCTGAAGTCAGGCATTTCCCTGGGGTCCCCTTTTCATCTGACACCTGATCAAGAGGACAAACCCTTCACAGGCAGTAAAGGCCCACGGATTCTCAAACCTGGGGAGAAAAGCACATTAGAAGCAAAAAAGATAGAATCTGAAAATAAAGGAATCAAAGGTGGGAAAAAGGTTTATAAAAGCTTGATCACTGGAAAGATTCGATCCAACTCAGAAATTTCCAGCCAAATGAAACAGCCCCTCCAGGCAAACATGCCTTCAATCTCAAGAGGTAGGACCATGATTCACATCCCAGGGGTTCGGAATAGCTCTTCAAGTACAAGCCCTGTCTCTAAAAAAGGCCCACCCCTCAAGACTCCAGCCTCCAAAAGCCCTAGTGAGGGTCCAGCAACCACCACTTCTCCCAGGGGAACTAAGCCATCAGTGAAGTCAGAGCTGAGCCCTATTACCAGGCAAACTTCCCAAATCAGTGGGTCGAACAAGGGGCCTTCCAGATCCGGATCTAGAGACTCCACTCCCTCAAGACCCACCCAGCAGCCACTAAGTAGGCCAATGCAGTCTCCAGGGCGGAACTCTATCTCCCCTGGTAGAAATGGAATAAGCCCTCCTAATAAACTGTCTCAGCTACCCAGGACCTCGTCCCCGAGCACTGCTTCCACCAAGTCCTCGGGCTCGGGGAAGATGTCCTATGCATCCCCTGGCAGGCAGATGAGCCAACAGAACCTTACCAAGCAAGCAGGCTTATCTAAGAATGCCAGTAGTATCCCAAGAAGTGAGTCTGCGTCTAAAGGACTAAATCAGATGAATAATGGCAATGGGTCTAATAAGAAGGTAGAACTTTCTAGGATGTCTTCAACTAAGTCGAGTGGGAGTGAGTCAGACAGGTCAGAGAGGCCTGCGTTAGTTCGCCAGTCCACCTTCATCAAAGAAGCCCCCAGCCCGACCCTCCGGAGGAAGCTGGAGGAGTCCGCCTCTCTGGAATCCCTTTCTCCATCTTCTAGACCAGATTCTCCCACCAGATCCCAGGCACAAACCCCGGTTTTAAGTCCTTCCCTTCCTGACATGTCTCTGTCCACACCCCCATCTGTTCAGGCTGGTGGATGGCGAAAGCTCCCGCCTAATCTCAGCCCCACCATTGAGTACGGCGATGGGAGATCAGCAAAGCGCCACGACATCGCTCGCTCCCATTCGGAAAGCCCTTCCAGACTGCCCATCAACCGGGCAGGAACCTGGAAGCGGGAGCACAGCAAACACTCCTCATCCCTCCCTCGGGTGAGCACCTGGAGAAGAACCGGGAGCTCGTCTTCTATTCTCTCCGCTTCCTCCGAGTCCAGTGAAAAGGCCAAAAGTGAGGATGAAAAGCATGTGAGCTCAGCGCCAGGCCCCAGACCGATGAAAGAAAGCCAAGCACCCACAAAAGGCACGTGGCGGAAAATAAAGGAAAGCGAGCTCTCCCCCACAAGCGCGCTGGCTCAGACGGCTCCCTCGGGTGCTGCCAATGGTGCTGAATCAAAGCCTCTGGTCTACCAGATGGCGCCCGCTGTTTCTAAGACCGAGGACGTTTGGGTGAGGATCGAGGACTGCCCCATCAACAACCCTAGGTCAGGACGGTCCCCCACAGGTAACACGCCCCCGGTGATTGACAGTGTTTCGGAAAAGGGAAATCCAAGCACTAAAGACCCGAAAGATACCCAGGGGAAACAAAGTGCGGGCAGTGGCAGCCCCGTGCACACCGTGGGTCTGGAAAGCCGCCTGAACCCCTGTACTCAGGTAGACGCCCCAGAGCAGAAAGGAACCGAGACAAAGCCGGGGCAGAGTAACGCTGCGCCCGCAGCAGAGGCCGGCGAGCCTTGTGTGGTCGAGCGCACCCCTTTCAGTTCAAGTGGCTCCAGCAAGCACAACTCACCCGGAGGGACTGTTGCTGCCAGGGTGACGCCTTTTAATTACAACCCCAGCCCGAGGAAAAGCAGTGCGGATGGCACCTCAGCCCGGCCGTCCCAGATCCCCACGCCGGTGAGTAGCAACACGAAGAAGCGAGATTCGAAGACGGACAGCACAGAGTCCGGTGGAGCCCAAAGTCCTAAGCGCCATTCTGGGTCTTACCTCGTGACGTCTGTTTAAAGGGCTGGAAGGACGGAGCTAGGAAAAGCTGGTGTCCTCACAACTGCTGTATAGAGACTTTGTTTCAAAGAAAACTTCAAAGGTTGAAACTTTGTAAATAAGTTTGATTCTTGCTAGAGAGGTTTTGTTCTGGAAACCATATTTGATAGTCCACTTGGTCCTCACTGGTCATTTTGGGAGGCACTCTTGTTAGGTAGGAAAAAGAACGGTAAAGCCAAGTATATTTGTACAGTATGTTTTACACGTATTTAAGTAGCATCCATCCCATTGTCCTTTAATTGTCGCTTAAGATAACACTACAGATAGAAACTATATGATATATTGCTGTTATCAATCATTTCTAGATTATAAAATAAACTTACATCAGGGAGAAATTTGTATTTATGCAAAAATAGTCCTTGTGAATCCATCTAACTCATAATTAATCATGTGGCTGTGAAATTCACAGTAATATGGTTCCCAATGAACATGTTTATCCAGCCTGCTTTGCTTTATTTGTTGCATGAGTGAAACTGATGGTTCAATTTCAGAAATAACGATTAATGATTCTGTGGTCACATGGTGTGCATAGGTAGCTACGGTGTAACAATTCACACTATTTTGTGCTCAGATCTGTGTAACTATAAAACCCTGAATGAAGCTATTTTAACTGAACTGGATTCTATCAGGAGTAGTGGAAGTTTTGCTATGCTGCAACTGTTGTATACTCTGGTATTTGAGGTGAGATGGCTGCTCTTTTATTAGTGAGACACATTTCAGAATAAATTATTGCTGTATGTAAACTATTACTGAAATCGGTATTTGTTTGAAGGTTCTTATTTCACATTTGTATTAATAATTGTCAAAAGGGCCTCTTTTAAAAGCTAAATGTAAATTTTTTTCTTCAGATTCTATGCATTAAGAGTAAAACTTCCTCTTACTGTAATAAAGACAATTGAAGAAGATTGTTGACACTTAACCATTCCTAAGATTTATTTTTATGTAATTAGCACCTCTCAATGTTTGGTATTTTTCCACTTCTTTTCTTACTGCGTTGGAGTTTGATTAAAACAAATGCCTGTGATAGCACAAGACAAGGAGCTGTACATACACATAGGACATCTCCTCCTCCTCACGAGGACTCACACTTGAAACGTTGGCTCCTGATGGGCGCTGGCTGTGTCCCAGGCTGCACAGGGCAAGCACTGTCTTACCCCCATCTTCTCCGAGTCCATACTGAGTCTGAAGCCAGGGCCTGCTACCACCCTGTGTGCTAAAACACATCTTTTGCAGCCAGGTGTAATCAGTATTTTCTTGTACTCAAAAAATACAAGTCAACAAAATGTCAGAGGTAAATTTAATGCTGTTATGATAACTTTTTAAGAAAGATATTCCAGAGCCGGGCGATGGTGGCGCCCGCCTTTAATCCCAGCACTCGCGAGGCAGAGGCAGGCGGATCTCTGTGAGTTCGAGGCCAGGCTGAACTGACAGCCTCCAAAACAATACAGAGAAACCCTGTCTCGTAAAACCAAAAAAAAAAAAAAAGAAAGATATTCCGAAGTGGGCCAGCGAGATGGCTGCCCCAGCGAGATGGCTGCCCCAGCGAGATGGCTGCCCCAGCGAGATGGCTGCCCACGGGTAAAGGTGACTGCCACCAAGCCTGAAGACCCAGTTCAGTTCACAGGTCACATGGTGCGAGAAAAGACCAACGCCCTAAATTGTCCTCTGACCTCCACACGCCTGCCATGGCCCGCTCCGCATGTGCCCACGCAAATACCGCAAGGGGGCTCAGCAGTGGAGTGGAAGCTGCCCTCTGGCTCCCACACGCGCCGTAATTCATAAGTAGAAAGCAGAAAGACTCCTGTAATCCCTGCCTGCTGAGGACAACTGTATTTTTAATGGGTACAGTGGTGGGATCTGTTAAGTGACCATCCCCCATATGGCAGAGAGAACCCACCATAATGAGAACACACTGATACACTTAATTAGCCGAGAGTTTCAGTTTTCGTCAAACTATCTGAAGTTGGTTTTTTTCTCTCTCTTTTTTTTCGAACACTATTCCATCATGTTCTAGAAAGCTGCCATAAGCAACAGGAGATGGGAATATAGGTCATAACCCATTTTTCTTTCATTCCTAGTTTTCCATTAGCATTACTGCACGCCAATGTTTACAAGCCACTTCAAGTATTTCTGTGGAAAGGTATGAGGCATTAGTTAGAATAAATTGCCTTTTAGTACATGTCTTTAAAAAAATTTTTGGAAGTAAAAGAGGGGTTCATTCCACCCGTTGGAGACTGAAGTCCCCCGCGGGCAGCCCTACTAGGAAGGGTCTGTCTGTGTTGTCCCTTGAAGATGAATTGTTGGGTGAAACCCTCTGGCGGAGGTTGTAAAGGTAAAGAGGCTTGCCTCAGGTCTGCTTCAAGAAGCCCACTGGCTGATGTCCTAGCCGGTGGCCAGCCAAGTGCTCCAGCCCCTGCTTCTTTAAGGCACACCAAGCCCACTGTTGGGTGGGTTAGTAGTCAGCATGCTATTGAAAGGACAGGAGCCGCCGGGCGTTGGTGGCGCACGCCTCAGGAGCCTATTTAGCTTTGGACTGCAGCAAAGAAAACCCAAGGTAGCAGTTTTCAGACAGGTGTGTTTGCATCACCAGAAGTATTTATTAAATCGCAGTTTGGGGATGTTACTTGGGCTTAGGGTATGGGGACCATACTTGGAGAATTACTGTCCTTAGCAACCACAGCACAGCTCTTAACATTTAAACAACTGGACCTTTAGTCTGCTGAGTAAGCTCTCCTTGGCATAAAAGACTTGAATACTGGGTTGTCCGACTTCATAATCTGTCGACTCACAATAGGGAGCAAACTCATGAGACTAACAGTTCTCAGCATGTCCACTGCATCTGAGGATCACCGTGTACCCCTTTGAAACAGCTCCTGAAAAAAAAAAAAAGAGCCTTAATAAGTAATTTGGGCCGGGCGTTTGTGGCACACACCTTTAATCCCAGCACTCAGGAGGCAGAGGCAGGCGGATCTCTGTGAGTTCGAGACCAGCCTGGACTACAGAGCAAGTTCCAGGACAGTCTCCGAAACAATACAGAGAAACCCTGTCTTGAAGAAAACCAAAAAAAATTAATAATAATTTGAATATACAGTAAGACTGAAAATGGAAACTCCAGATGCGGGTAGATTGGGTGTAGGCGATCAGTTTGTTGGTGCACAGTAGAAGCCAGAAGTGGTAATAAAGTTTACAGGTTACCAGGGCACTAACAAGGTAAACAATGAAATAAAAGAGGCCCTGTAGGTACCAACCAGCACTGTAAGTGTAGTCAGAATTGTCTTTATTGTGTAAAATGGGGATCAGGTTACCACAAAGTTCATTGAAAATGAGTCTGTTGCTGAAAATAGGCAGTTGCCAGGGCTTCTTTGCAGCTAAGAAGAAAATACAGTACCAGAAATGCAAGGATTGAACTGCCCAATGCTAAGACAGGTTTGCATGGTCAGATAATTAAAATCTACCAAACTACTTTTCAACTGTAGAGGAGGCTAAAATAGAGTGCATATTCTTTCTAACTTCCTAGTAAGCCTGTTCCCCTCACATGCTGACCTTAGAAGACTACTTTGTAATGTGGAAATCTATGAACTGTGACTTCTGTAAACCCAGGTTATTCCCCTCCTGTTCTTCTAATCCTGGTCTATGAAAATCCATTCTGCGTTCTGTTAGGCCGCTGATGCATCTTTCAAACTGTATGTTCTATATGTGTAATACTGTTCTTGGTGCTAAATAACTTTCTTTCCTCTGATATTCAGGATAATTTTTCTCTATATTTCTGTTCACTTGTTTTCTTGAACTTACCTGATTGTTATTTTTAATTAAAAATACTTAAACGTATACTAGTGAAGGTTGCCATTGAATATAAACAACACTAATAAGAAAGGATGGGTCTGTTGAAAGGAGCCTCAGCACTACCTGCCCATTTACACATTCTTTTGGGACCTAAACACTTTATCCCGATGATGAACCATTGAACCGTGAGTGTACCCGGTCTTCCCCTGACCATGGCTGTACCCGGAGACCTGTGTGGCCCGGCTTAGATAAAAAACTAAATTGACTAGGCTAGCCAATTTGAGACACAAGTCACAAGTATTGTGGCCTGGTGGGACACACACTTGCAACCCTAGCATTTTGGGGTGTCAGAAGTAGGATGGTTCAAGGTCATCTCTAGTTAGGGCATAGAGGCCAACCTGGGGTACATGATGGCCACCAGCTTACCTCCAGGTCAGCGAGGGATGCGACTCTAAAGGGAATAGCACAGAGAACAACCAGAGTAGGACAGTGAGCCCCTCCTCTGGCCTCCCTGTGTGCGCAGACGCCACACACACACACACACACACACACGCACGCACGCACGCACGCACGCACACGCGCGTGTCCTGGCTGGTGAGCACTGTAGCTGAGTATCCACAGACTAAACGCTGACTACTGTGACTGGTGTAGGGCCAGGGAAGGGAGAAGGGAGCAGATTCAGGAAAGAGGCACGCCGATTTACGTGACAGTCATTGGCCACTACAGTTATCCCCACTAGTGTTTTCCTGACTTGGCCCCTGGTGAACCAGCGCCAGTTCCCGGAGTGACTGGGAGCCAACAGAGCCACGCTTAGGCACATGATAGTTGGTTTTTGGTAGCGGTGGAGAATTGAGTGTGCAAGGGAAGTACTTCTACCCACACTCCTGGCCAGGAGGCTTAGTTTCAAAAACAGAGGGAAGAAAGGAAGGAGTCGCCACCAAAAGAAAGGGAATGGCTCAGATTTCCACAGTAGTAAATGATAAGATTACCACAGAGAGCAGCCCTTGGAAGGAAATAAAATCATTCCATTAGTTTGGTTTTTTGTTTTGTTTTAAGTTCTCTAAAAGATAAACTGTCTTCAGTTAGGGTGACTATTGCTGTGACGAAACACCATGGCCAAAAGCAGCTTGGGGAGGAGAGGGTTCAATTCACAGTTCCTCATCCAAAGGTGTGGGAGCAGGGATTCTAGCAGGACAGGACCCAGCTGATGCAGAGGCTATGGAGCAGTGCTGGTGATTGGCTCGCTCTTCAGAGCTCCACTCCACTCCTCTCTGCTTTGCTGACTGCAACACACGTCTCTCTCTTGGGCTGGTCCCACTCCCTGTTAGCAGCTCTCCTTCCCAGGTATCCCACAGCACTGGCATCCCTAACATCATGCGGGTTCCAAGGAAATCCAGGCTTCTTCACAGCTTCCCACAAAGGCCTCTCTGTGTCTCCATTCAAGAACACCCCTGACACATGCCTGGCCTCAGTGGCTTTCCTTAATCTCAGAGGAAGATCCCATAACCCCCCTCTTCTCTCCTTGACTCTAAAACCAGAACCATGTGGCCAAGGCTGCCAGGTTCTGCTGCTTACTTGGACTGGAAAATGTCCCTCTCACTCAATTACGTTTTCACCAGCTTCCTGCACTGCCATGGCTACCTGCACTGCCTAAGGTTGACTGTCCTGCAAGTGGATCTCTAGACCAGGCTGGCCTCAAACTCAGAGATCTGCCTGCCTCTGCCTCTGGAGTGCTAGGATTAAAGGGTGTGCCACCACACCCAGCTCTAAGCTTTTCTTTCATCCTTTTCCATAGGTTGGAAACTTAGCTGGGTAGGATCTTGCCCTAAGGTCACCATGTCTTTTAGCCCATTTAATCTGTGTATCTCCTTGAACACAGGATTTAGCTCCATTCCACTTCCTAGCGCTCCCTTTCCCCTCAAATTGTACATTGTGTGTTTTTCCTTTCTCAGCTTGCTCCTTTTCATCATTATACGTCTTCATTACAGTTACCACTTAATAACCATAAAACAGAGGCTGTTTTGAGATTTCCTCTGCCAGTGCAGTTAATCCAAAATAGGCTTCACTTTCGTCTCAGGCAGACCTTTCAGACAAGGGCAGAAAGCAGCCACATTCTTCACCAAATATCACAAGACCAGTCTCTAGACCAGATCATTCTAACACTCTTCTCCGCTGAAGCCTCTTGATCCAGGTACCCACAGTTCAAGTCACACTCAGCACCACTGTCTTCCACGTTCCTACTAGGATGGCCCATTAAACAGCACTTAAAGCACTCAGCTGCTTTTCTAATCCACAGTCCCAAGGTCCATATTCCTTCCAACAAAAGCATGGTCAGGCCTATCGCAGCAATATCCTAGTCTTAGTTAGGGTTTCCACTGATGTGAAGAAGACCCTGACCACAGCAACGCTTATAAGGAAAAACATGTAACTGGCTTGCTTACCGTTCCGAGGTTTGGTCTAGTATCATCATGGTGGGACCACATGGTGGTGTGCAGGCAGACGCGGTGCTGGAGAAAGAGCTGAGAGCTTTCCATCTTGAATGCAGGCCAGCGGGAAGTGAACTGAAACATCGGGCGGTATCTTGAGCATAGGGGACCTCAAAGCCCACCCCACAGTGACACACTTCCTGCAACAGGGGCACACCCACTCCAACAAGGCCACACCTCCATGAAATGCTTAGTAATTTTAATCTTAAACTCTTAATCGTACACTAAAAATTAGATTATTCTAACCTAAACTGGGAAACAAGGGTTAGCAGTGAAGTATAAAAGCTTCTAGATGCCTAAGGATTTCTCCCCGGGTAACAGTTGCCTAGGGAAGCAAACACTGGTGAGATGCACATGCTCCTGTACACAGCCCTAATGAAACCCGGTGGGTCGTCAGAACAAAAAGACAGGAGGTAGAAGGAGGTCTAGTCGGGAAGAGGAAGGGCTTTAAGGGGTGGGGGAGGGACCAGACGGTAACTGGAAAGTTATTATCTAGAGACACTGTGTATGATATGAAATTGTCAGTAAAACCCACTGTTTTGTGTAACTAACACATAGATATGCTAATAAAACATTTAAAAATAATTATTTCATCTTTTAGATAGTAAACCACCAAAACAAAGACGACATGATAGCTAAGAGCAGATGAGGGGAGAAAGAAGAATTAGTTATAATGCATAGAATGGTAGAGTAATAACACAAGTGTATTAAGCATATGGTTAACTGCCACCAAACTGGGTAAAGTAAAATCTTCCATTAACAGAAGACACTGAATGATCCAGAGTAAAAATGAAACCACAGTACCTACATCTCAGGAGCAGAGGAAGCGGCGATGGCCAATCTATGCAGAACTATGGTTCTGGAGGAAAGGCATTAAACATAGCACTTGAGGCATAACTGAAACTCTCCTTAAATGCCAAATGGCACACAGAGAAGCTGCTTTGGACATGATTGTATGCACCTATGACCCCAGCACTCAAGAGGCCAAGTAAGGCAGGGGAGTAACAAGGCCACAGTCAGTCTGGCCTAGATACTGGAGCCTTTGTCTTAAAAAAAAAAAAAAATGTGGCTCAGGAGGCAGAAGTAAGCAGCTAGGTCTACATAATGAGATGAGTTCCCTGTCACCAAGGGCCATATAGGGAGAACCTGTCTCAAAAAGAAAAGTCTTTGAGCCTATCTGTTTAAGAACGGATTTAGTTGCTAGGCAGTGGTGGCACATGCCTTTAATCCCAGCACTCGGCAGGCAGAGGCAGGCAGATCTCTGAGTTCGAGACCAGCCTGGTCTACAGAGTGAGTTCCAGGACAGGCTCCAAAGCTACACAGAGAAATCCTGTCTGGAAAAACAAAACAACAAAAAAGAATGGACTTATGTCTATAAGAGAAGAAAAAGCTGCCTACGATTTGGTTTTGAAAGAACAATCCTGTTAAATGAAGCTTCCTCAGAAGGTTCTTTCCTGAAGACCTTGACGGGTGTGAGATCCGTACACAGTAACCGGGAGTTTGGATTACGGAGATTAGAGAAAATTTACTAGTTTTGCTTATGATAAACAGAGTTTGGAATTCTTGGAGTAGTTCAGGCATGAGTGCCTGCAAATGGGAGAAAACATAAAGGAAAAGGAGGCCACACGTTTGTGACGGTCCAGATGGAGTTTCTGTCCCACCTGGCCCCACAGCTGTTTGATCCCAAATGAACACACAGAGGCTCATATTAATTATAAACTCCTTGGCCAGTGGCTCAGGCTTCTTACTGGCTAGCTCTCTCAATTATTAACCCATTTCTATTAAACCATGCATTGCCGCGAGGCCTCCACGAGTTTCTTCAGTGCCCGTCTTCCTTTCTGACATAACTGGCGTTACCAGAAACGCCTGTGTTTCACTGTCAAGAAAAACCCTTAATAAAAATCACTTTAGGGTTGGAGAGATGGCTCAGAGGTTAAGAGCACTGGCTGCTCCTCCAGAGGTCCTGAGTTCAATTCCCAACGTCCACATGGTGGCTCACAACCATCTGTAATGAGATCTGGTGCCCTCTTCTGGCGTGCAGACATACATGGAAGCAAGAAATAAATAAATCTTTTTTTTTTAATCGCTTTAACGATCGCCATAGTCTGCAGGTCTTTTGGAACGTTTTTTGAAGAATCCACTTGAAATGTATCTCCGCGTAACCTGACGGAATTCTGACTATTACAAGTGACTGTCCGTAATGGAGATACAGACATCCGTGACCCCTTGGGGGGGAAGGGGGAGGGTCGAAGGACCCTTTCTCTCCGCAACACCTGCGGTGCCAAAAAACAAAACAAAACAAAAAACCCGCAGAGGCGCCGCTGGGGAAGCCGGACTCCGCCACGGGGAAAGCGGGAGCCGGGACCGCGCGGCTGAGCCCAGGGCACTCACCCCAAACCCCAGACTCTCCTCGGTGGCCGGCCCCCGCCCCACCAGGCGGAGCCTACAGCCAGGGGTGAAGCGGGCTGAGGTAACCCCGACAGCCCCGAAGCCTCCCCGGCCGCCCAGCCGCCCGGCTCCTCCCGAGGCATCTTCACCGGCCCCGCCACGCTCCCGGAACCAACGTGCGAGAGGAAAACCCGCAGCCGGCCGCTTTAGGCGTAGGACTTCCGCCGGAAGGGCGGGCGGTCTCCGAGCTCCGAGTCAAACTTCCGGCCGGCGCGGGGCCTGCGGCGCTGGCGGGGCTGCGGGGACGCCCGTGGAGATGGCTTGCGCGGCCGCGCGGTCCCCGGCCGACCAGGACAGGTGGGTGGGCGCTCGGGGCCGGGAGCGGGGGGGCTCGGGGCTCCGGAACCCGGGAGGGACGGGCGCGGGAGAGGCTCGCCCGGCGCCGTGCGAGCGCCCGCAGCCCCCGAGTCACCCAGCTGCGCGCGCGCGCGCGTGTGTGTCCCCCGCAGGTTCATCTGCATCTACCCCGCCTATCTGAACAATAAGAAGACCATCGCCGAGGGCAGGCGGATCCCCGTGAGCAAGGTGAGCGGGCGGGCAGGGGCGGGCGGGCGGCCTCGGTCTCCGTTCCGCCGCCCTTCCTTGTGCGCCGTCCTCGACCTCCAAAACCAAAGCGCAGCCGCCGAGGCCTCCGTGCTCTGGGCGCATTAAAAAAAAAAAAAAAGGTTGCGGGTGGTGCACGCCTTTAATCCCAGCACTCGGGAGGCAGAGGCAGGCGGATCTCTGTGAGTTCGAGGCCGGGCTGGACCGACAGCCTCCAAAACAATACAGAGAAACCCTGTCTCGTAAAAAAAAAAAAAAAAAAAAAAAAAAAAAGTGCGTCCGTGAGAGGCGGTGTCCGCGGGATGCTTAGGTTTTTGTTTTTGTTTTCTTTTAACCGAGACCGCGACGGTCTCCCCGGCGAAAGCGGGGTGGGTGGTGGCGTTGTGCTCGGCGCAGACTCGCCTCGTTGGTGTCAGGGGTTAAGGCCTGTGCAAAAGGGCAGCTCGGCGGGGTTCCGTCGTCTTCGCTGCTTCTCTTGAAGGGGCCTGAAGTCTCCTTAAAGGCAGCGCCTTTGGAACGGAGGTGTAGGAGTGGGAGTGGAGGTGGCTCCGTGGTGGGTGCTCTTAGCCGGCACCACGCGTCGAAGCCACCTGTCAGTCAGAACACGCTTAGGCAGGTTATTGGATTTTCGGTTTTAAAAAAAGTGTGACCTTTGGGTAGGAAAACCCTAATTTGGAGCCCAGCGCTAAATGAGAGGTCTCACAGAATTTTTATGTAATGCGCTCTGCTTTTAGAGTCATTAAGTTGTATGATCAAATGAGGACTGAAGCAAAGAATTAGCTGTGTGTGTGTGTGTGCGCGCGCGCGCGCGTGCGTGCGTGCGTGCGTGCGTGCGTGTGTGTGTGTGTGTGTGTGTGTGTGTGAGCATCTCTCATTTGGCTGTTACTTCAAAGAGTGAACTCAGTCCAAAATCCACTTTGCCTCTTCCCAGGCACTGTTGAGAATAATGCCAAACATCTAGGTGACGTGACAGGCTTTTAATAATGCTCCCAGGTGCTCTCTGAAATGTTTTTTTTTTTTAAAAGAAAATTCATGGGTGCCGTAGCTAACAAACTTGACAAAAGTCTTTTATTGCATATTTTCATCTGGGGAGTAGAGCTGGTTACAGCACCCGGATTTAGGAAACGGCCTGCCGGAAGATTCCTGTCTCCATCTCTGCCTCCTTCCATGTACAGCGTTATTCACTGTGTACCTTTCTGTCTTTCTCACAGATTCGTAACTCTTTTTGCATGTTCTGTTGCTTGGGAATGAATGCGCGACCTCAAATAGGCCAAGCAAGTGCTCTGTTGCTAAGCAACACCTCCAGTGTAGTTTACCTCTAATTGCTCGAGCAGGAGTTTCTTAGTAGCAGCACCCTTTGACGGTTTTTGTTTGTTGTAAGGGTTTAGTCTGTTTTTGTTGTTGTATATGTGGGAATGTGTACACGTGAATGCGGGTGCTGTGGAGGCCAGAGGAGGTGGTGGATCCCCTGGAGCTGGGTTGCAAGCTTCCTGGCATGGGTGCTGGGAACTGAACTTGTGTCCTCTGCAAGAGCAGTGCGAGTCCTCGGTGCTGAGCAGTCTCTCCAACCCCCATTGACATTTGTGAGTCAGATAATTTTTTGTTGTAGACAACTGTCTGTGCATTTTAAGGTGCATGGTAACATCCCTGGCCTCTATCTGGTAGATAACAGTACCCTTTCTCAAACTATCTTGAAGCAGAACATAAGCAAATGTTCCCAGAATGGAGCGTGAGTAAACTTCCCCTGCTACAATGTATCGCACTGTGGAACTGCATGTGTGAATCCCACGCGCTTTCTTCCGTTTCTTGTTTGAGGCTGCTACACACAGGGCTGTGGGACTGGAGGGATGGCTCAGCTGTTAAACACACTTACTGCTTTTGAGAAGACCTGTCTTCACACACACACACACACACACACACACACACACCCGCGCGGTGGCTCACAACCATCTGTAACTCAGTTCCAGGAGGTCCGTGGCCTCCTCTGGCCCTGCACTAAAGTGGTGCAGAGACACACATGTAAATGGACAGACACTAAAGTGAGTGAGACCCGTATGTAGCGCTGCTGTGAGCACGCCTGAGCTTGTCTCCTGCACTCTGGTGAATGTGCAGGGCCATAGGAAATCCTACGTTCAGCTTCAGTAGGTAACAATTAGTGTTCTAGAATGGTTGTGTGTGTAATCGTTTAACCAGTTTGCATTTAGCTTTTGCTGTGTTCAGAGTATCCCGCTAGGTGCTGGTGAAGTCCTTTTTCTCATGCAGCCTATGTTGGGAGAGAGAAACACACAACTGTTATTCCCGAGGATTTCTTAAACTACAGTAGAAATAAATGGACTTAGTTAAAAAAAAAAAAAAAGGACACTAGGCTTTAGTCTCTGTTTTGCTCATAATATTAGAAATTAGTTGCACAGCCGTATAGTGATACTCACTTAAAACTGAGCTGTCGGTGTTTTTATTTTTTTACTGCTCAGGCTGTAGAAAACCCTACCGCTTCGGAGATTCAGGATGTCTGCTCGGCGGTTGGACTGAATGCATTTCTGGAGAAAAACAAAATGTACTCCAGAGAGTGGAACCGTGATGTTCAGTACAGAGGCAGAGTTCGGGTACAGCTCAGACAGGAAGATGGCAGCCTCTGTCTTGTACAGTTCCCATCACGTAAGCCTCTTCAAATGAATGCATAGGGTCCAGGGGTACTTACCTTGTCCAGAGGGTACACATACCACACATCTGTAGCACTCAGGAAGCTGAGGCAGAAGGATTGCTGCAAGTTCAGTACCTATGTGGGCTATAGAGTTGAGTTCAAGACCAACCTGAGCAAGTTTGTAAGGCCTTGTCTCAAAATAGAAATCTTGAGATATCTAGAGATTAGCTAAGTGGTCGTTGCCCAGCATGCACAGGGTCCTAGGTCCAAGCCCCAGCACAGCAAAATCAGTATGTAAATGAAATCTAAGGAGCAATATTGAACAAAAAAAGCAGACATACCATAGTGCCATTCATGGAAACAAATGTGAATACTACTGTTTATTGATGAATGTATGTAGTAATACGTATTGATAGAAACGCTTTTTTAAATGGGCCAGAAGCTAAAATACCCTCCTTTTTTTGTTGTTATTTTGTTTTGTTTTTAGAGACAGGGTTTCTCTGACTTTTAAGACAGTAGCTACCTAATGGTGAGTAGTAAGGCAGGAAAGGAGTAGCGATCAGAGGACTAATGAACACTGAGCCGCCAGTTGCTGGGACAGGAGCTCTTGGTTCAGACTTCGTGTTTTATAGTTCCGTTTTGCTCATTTAAGCATTTCAGTGTTCTAAGATTGCTGCGCTAACCCCGGCTTCCGGTTTTTAGGTAAGTCGGTGATGCTGTATGTAGCGGAAATGATACCCAAGCTGAAAACAAGGACACAAAAGACAGGAGGTGCTGACCCCAGTCTTCAGCAAGGAGAGGGAAGTAAGAAGGGGAAGGGGAAGAAGAAGAAATGATGCGGACGGGAAGCGCGCAGCCCCACTGTGAGACGTGGCGTCTTCGCGTCTGAGGGAGCAGCTTTGTCTGTCCTTTAACTGAACTGTGAGCAAGTGTGTCCCCATCTTCATCAGCAGCCCTAACATAAGTTTACATCAAAAGTTTGCATCTAGCTTTTATACTGTAAAAAGGAAAGATTGTGTGGAAGAAAGAAGAATATTTTTAACAGATAATGACTGTCCCATAAGGTACTTGAAATCTGTATGTTTGTCCTCTGTGTAAACATATTTCAGGTAAATAAGTTTAGTAAAATTTAAAATACACATTTTGTTCACCTTTTAAGTTAATGAAATAAAGATTTAAACTGACTTGTAGCGTTCACTTGTGAAGCCGTTGTGTCCAGTAGAGGAGACTGACAGAGTAAAAGTGGTTGAAGTGTGGGCAGAAGACAGCCGGGAGGCCGTGAAGGCTCGTGTCCTGTCACCTGCTGTTACGGTCAGCAGTTCCATTAGAAACACGTAGACTTGCTCATGTGTTGGTCTCATGACCATTGGTTCTGTGAGTAAAGGGCTTGCTACACAGCACGAAGACGGAGTTTAGATCCTAGTACACACGCAAAAGCCAGGAGCAGTGTTGTGGGAGACAGGCAGGGCCAGGGCTGGGCTCCAAGCTCAGTGACAGACGCTGCCTCATGAAATAGTATGGAGGGTGGTAAGAAGACACTTGACGTCAACCGCTGGCCACCACACACGTGTGCATGAACACTCATCACAGAAAACATTCCAAAGCCCATGTGGTGTCACTCGGTATAATCTAACATCCTGGAGGTGGAGGCAGGAGGACCTGAGGTTCAAAGCTGGCCTCAGATACATTTGTAGCCAGCTCCAGGTCAGCCTGGACTAAGAGAAACAGTCTCAAGACAAATGAAAGGGGCCTGTTGCCTGAGCACCCGGAATCCACCTTGGAAACTGACTTGGAAAGGTTCTTCCCAATGCATTCCAAAGCTCTTCCTGGAGCTGTGGCTTTGAGATGTTGTGACACACCTGTCCTCCCGAACAGCGTGACTGCTGTGTTGCCCTCCTGAATTCTTAGCAGCAATGAGTAACCACGGAGGCCCTCGCTGAAAGACCATTAGTTTTTAGTCATGGTGGCCCTACCCTAAAGACTTAGGAGTTAACGGGGAAGGCTCATGGGTCCCACCCCTCCCAGGGGACCTGTTGGCAGTTGCTAGGACAGCGCAGTGGTGGTGGCAACGTTTTCTGCAGGAGTATAGCTATAATCCTAAGCCACCCATGCACCTGTAAGGAACCTAATTGTGATGATTTGAATAAGAATGCCCGCATAGACTCACATTTGAATACTTAGTCATCAGAATGTCCATGTAGACTCACATTTGAATACTTAGCCATCAGAATGCCCGTGTAGACTCATATTTGAATACTTAGTCATCAGAATGCCCACATAGACTCACATTTGAATACTTAGCCATCAGAATGTCCGTGTAGACTCACATTTGAATACTTAGCCATCAGGAAGGGGCACTCCTTGAGAAGGATTAGAAGATGTGTCCTTGTTGTAGGAAGATTGTCACCAGGGGCCTCAGGAGCCCAAGGCAGACCCAGCATCTCCCTGCTGCCTGTGGAGATGAAGGACTCTCGGGAACTTCTCCAGCACCGTGGGTGCCTGCATGTCCCCACGCCCCCCACATGTAACAACTAAACCTCTAAAACTGTAAGCAAGCCCCCCAGTTAAATGCTTTCTGTGGCTGCCTTGGCCACGATGTCTCCTCACAGCAACAGAACACTGGCTAAGACACTAAACTCATTAGTTCACCAAACGGGACTTGAGTGAAATCATTGCTTTGGTCTGTCTGAGTTTTGTCTGGGGTGAGCAGGTGTGATGTGGGAGGTCCTGTGATTATGTCAATAAAGCACTGTTGAGCCAATAGGGAACCAAGATAGGAGGGACTAGGAGTCCAGAAGGACTCTGGGTAGGAGAAACACAGAGACTCGAGATGTAACGTCATGGGGTAGGAAGCCCGGAACTTCTCCGGTAAGAGACATACTTAGATTAACAATTATGGGGTAAATACTTAAGTCAGAACTAGCCAGTAAGAAGCAAGCAAGGCCAACAGCTTCATAATTAATACAGCGTCTTGTGTGTTATTTGGAGACTACAACACAGCAGAGCCCAGGCGACTGGCGGGTGATAAAACAAAGCGGCTAGCAAGGAAAAAGCTTCTCTTTACACAGGTGTTTGTTCATCTCCCCAAGAAAAGGGTCACACGCTTGGCTGCCCGAATGTGGAGTAGACAGGACTAACCGTGAGTCTGGGAGTTAAGCTGTCTCTGCTGTTCCTGAAGAGCCATGCAGCTACCTGAAGGCGGAATGCTCCCAGGGTTAATCCCAATGTTGTCATCTTCCTAGCATTGGTGGTGGCATTGTCCCTGCCATGGGTGGAAGGCATGCAGCTAAGCAACTCTTAACAAGGCAAAGAGTCCCCCGGAAGAATCCTAGGGTCACAAAAGAAGAAAGACCTGCCTGATGAATAGGGTCCGCCTAGTGAACACTGAGATGCCCCCAAATGGATGCTGAACTAAAGGCTACATTACAGGGGCTGGAGAGACGGCTCAGCAGTTAAGAGCACCGGCTGCCCTTGCAGAAGACCCAGGTTCCAATCCCAGCACTCACGTGGCAGCTCACAACCGTCTTAACTCCAGTGCCACGGTATCCAAAACCCTCTTCTGCCTCTGTGAGGTGCCAGCGCCACAAGCCACTCCAAGGTATCAGGAAAAGAGAGGCAAGACGTCCATTTGTTTGTACTAAGAATGCATGTGCTGCCTTTATTGCCAGGAGAGTGTGTGTGTGTCTCATTGCAAGTGCTAACAGCCCTCCCTTGTAGGAGGGAGGAGCTTTATATACAGGTTTACAGCACAGTGGAAAAACCCCAGGTAGAAGACAGCATGTTTTCCTCCTGCTGAATGTTGATGTCAGAGGGTCAAGGCCAGGGGAGTAAGCCAGGACTAGAAAACAGGAAGCACTTGGACTGGAAAACAAGTTGCACTTGTAGGCTGACCAGAAACTCCCAGAGACCCCATGAGGTTGGGGCCCAACATCTCCCCCCTTCTTTATATAAATTAGCACCTATCTCAGGTGACTAGGATGTTAATGTTAATCTTAGTATCAATAACCAACCCTATATAAATGTAAACAAACATTTATAAACAATATTTGGGAATGTGGGCGTCATTCTTTCCAAACTACTTCCTGCTGTTAAGGGGTGCTGAAATACCATGGGGATCATGACAAAAAACAAAACAAAACCCAGAAACCTGTTGAAGTTCTTGTTTTAGTGGTCTGCAATGCTGCATCATCTCAGCTGTTTTAGGTGCTGGATCACCTGGGCCACTGCTTCAGGTGGTCTTGCTTCATCAAACCATACTAGTCTGGAAGGAACCCACAGCTTTTTATGTTCTGTGGAAACAAAAGCAGAAATTCTTTTCCCAAGTAACCTGTCCTTATATTTAAATTTAGAAGTCAAAGCATTTCCAAAACTTGCAAGTTGGATTAATTTAGCAACATTAATAATCATTGTCTTTTAGCAGTTTTTGTTCCTTTCTTAGCAATTAAACAATTTAAAGACAACACAACTGTACACAGTATCCAGACTCTCTGTGTATTTCTCATTTTATATACTTTTATCTTTTCCTTTTTTTAACTTAATATCAGTACCTTGTTTATTAACTGTTACCAATTTTTAATTTACCCACTTTTAATCCACCCTCCAACCTAGGGTGATCTCTCAAGCAAAGCCTGGAGATTTGACCATTCAATTTTACTGTTAGACGTTGAGGTGCCTGTTTTTAATTCTTTTCTTTCTCGAGTCCTCTCTTGAGTCTTCTTTCTGGCCAATCTTTCCCTGTCTTTTTAAGTCTTTTTGGATCTCAGTGGAACTTCCAATTGCTATGCCCGTACCACAAGCCACTCCAAGGTATCAGGAAAAGAGAGACAAGACGTCCATTTGTTTATACTAAGAGAATGCATGTGCTGCCTTTATTGCCAGGAGAGAGAGAGAGAGAGAGAGAGAGAGAGAGAGAGAGAGTGTGTGTGTGTGTGTGTGTGTGTGTGTGTGTCTTCATTATAAGTGCTAACAGCCCTCGTAGGAGAGAGGAGCTTTACATACAGGTTTACAGCACAGTGGAAAAACCCCAGGTAGAAGAGAACGTGTCCAGGCCTTCGCCTGACACCAAGGTCAGGAAAGAAAGGGGAACCTGAGAGATCACCCTCTGTTGGAGGATGGATTAAAAGTGTATAAATTAAAAATTGGTAACAGTTAATAAACGAGGTACTGATATTAAGGAAAAGATAAAAGTATAGGAGATGTTGGGCTTCAACCCCATGAGGTCTCTATGAGTTGCTGGTCAGCCTACAAGTGCAACTTGTTTTCTAGTCCAAGTGCTTCCTGTTTTCTAGTCCTGGCTAACTGCCCTGGCCTTGACCCTCTGACATCAACATCTAGCAGGGGGAAAACATGCTGTCTTCTACCTGGGGTTTTTCCACTGTGCTGTAAACCTGTATATAAAGCCCCTCCCTCCTACAAGGGAGGGCTGTTAGCACTTGCAATGAGACACACACACACACACACACTCTCTCTGTCTCTCTCTCTCTCTCTCTCTCTCTCCTGGCAATAAAGGCAGTACATGCATTCTCTTAGTACAAACAAGTGGACGTCTGGTCTTTCTTTCCCTGATACCTTGGAGTGGCTTGTGGCGCTGGCCCCGCACCTTTGTGGGCACCAGGCACACGTGTGGTGCACAGATGCTCACACACGTAGGCTATGCTCTGGGCAGTAAGACGAGCCGCTGAAGCTGAGATGGGGGTGTGCGTCGAGACAGACACAGCGGATGTTAGCATGCGCTGGACTCCGAGTTGGCGAGGAGAGCACAAGGTAGAGGCACTGACGTGCTCTGCCCTACAGCGAGGATGCATGAGGGAAATACACACTAGGCCTGCGCCAGGTCCCCCTTCCTGGGAGCCGGAAACGCAGGGTCAGGAAGCCGAGAGCCAAGGGACAGGAGATGCCCAGCGTCTTGGTGCAGCATAAAGGACACCACAGTAACCAGAATAGTCTGCCTTTGGACTGGTTGGTTTGGAAAAGACTTACTTTTGGACGACAAGGAACGCAGACAGCCTACATGGGCCAGAAACAAGCTGAGGCCGAGGGTGACCCTTAACTGACCCACTTCTGGAGCGCGTGGATTACAGTGCCGTCAGCCTGATGCGTCCCCTGTGGTCCTGGGACTAAGCCCAGGCCTAATGTGCCCGGCATTCTACCAACCAAGCTGCACCCCCAGCAGAGAGGCTAAAAC